TTACATATATACACAGCTTGCAAACACATGCATGCGTGTACCTCTACTTACCTTCCACCCGTCGTATCTACCTATCCGTCTATCCGTCTACCTGTCTATCTATCTGCCTATCTATGCATCCATCTACCCATCTATCCATTTATCCATCCATCTATCTATCGAACAATCGATGTGTCCATTTATTTACCCAGCCTAATCTAACTTGACATAGTCTAACCTAACCTTGCACTTCGCTGCTGTCTTCATCGCTAACTTTACCTTATCGTAGCTTCTGTTGTTCATCTTTATCATGTTTATCATACTCATCCCGATCTATGTATCTATCTGTCTGTTCGTCTATTTGTCTGTCTGGTTGTCGGGCACTGCACGTGTGCACCCAGTGACAAGCCTAGTGTGTGAGTGAAAGTCTTTTGTGTTTGCTACCAGTTAGAAAGCAAGCAAAGAAGCAGCTGCTGAAGCCACTGCAGCTCGCGTTTTTCAGCTTTTCTGCTTAGAGCCTCGCACGCCGAGCCATGTCAGGACAAAGCCGCGGTAGTCCTGTTGTGCTGGCTGCACTTAAGGTGATATGCGAGGACACAGAAGACCAGCTGATGGACTCACTGGGCGAGTTCCGTGTCTCGCACCGTGCGAGATTGGCGGCACTTATGAGCCAGTCAGTGGCCGAGGGCTTGAATGCCTACAGTCAGCAGGGAGAGCAGTCCACCTATGATGCAGAGGCTTTGGTGGGAGTCATTTTTGGGGACCTTCCCGACGATGTGGCCCCGTGGGATGATGCAGCACAGGACGCCCCAGTCAGCTCCGGTGTTGAGAAAGGGCTCCTGTCAGCACCGGCCAGGGTGGTGTTCAGGCCACCGAGCACTATGTGGACGAGCTCACTGTCGAGGATTATGGCCACTCCTCGTTCGACCCTGCTGCTTGTGCCTGTTTGGAGGACACCCGGCGGTCCCAGATCATCCTCATCTCATGTCTATCTATGTATCTATCTGTCTATTTGACTGTTTGTCTGTCTGGTTGTCTGCCCTTTATCTACCGTAGCTATCTCCCTGTAGATCTAAACATCTACCTGACCATCTATCTACCTACATGCATACACACAAAGATGCATACATACATGCATGCATACATACAGGCCTTTAAACACATGGGAAAACGTAATATGTGCCCGACAGGGCAGTTGCCGAACTCAGTAGGAAGTGTTTCCACGTGTTTGTGGTTGCTCCGTGTTTGGCTCAGGCCCCTTACAGAACGATGTGCACTGTTGACGACATGTCCCGTTGAGAGAGGTGATCTTACATCACGCGACATCCCAAAACCCGAAACAATGCCTTCGTGACTTGTTTGGAAGAGGCCCTCGCTTCGGCGCTGGAGTCCCAGCCATGGTTTACAGGGAAGGCTTGCGAATAATGGAGCTGTAACCTTCGCAGATCATGACACCTCACCTAAACCAGTTGACAGTCATCTTCGGGTGCAGACGTCTCACAGCACCTTGCACAAATCCGGCATGTTTGGCGACGCAGGGTCAGAGATCATTTTGAGGTTTAGCGTGGAGACGTCACGCCGGAAGTCTGTGGGTGTACATTTTCGGAATCTTTTGTGCCCTGACTCTTCTGGCTCCCCAGCAGCGAGTTCTGCAGCCCTTGTGGCTCAAAGCGGGCAACTGTTTGTTGCTGCTCTTGCAGCACAATCCCCTGTGGGGTTGGGATGCGTTTGTTGGGTTTTAGAAGACCGTGCTTAGGGTCATCAGACACTTCGGTGCGTGCTTCTGTCTGGTACCCTCTCCTGTGCTGCGGTCGAATAGCCAGCTTGGTCTGGGGCGTTTCACAAGCACCGACACACCGCCCACACAACATCCCTGTGCTTCTCCAGCCACCCCCAGCTCCACCGAGATGTCCACACCCTGAACCTCCTAAAATTTTGGTGCGAAACGCTACCAGAAGAAGTATCATTCCCATCATCGGGTGTGAAGCCGACCATCGTCGAGAGCCGTTTGCAGAAGTTCAATCTTAGACATGATAGCAGACGTTAGTCAAGACTTTCCCAGCGCTCAGTGGAAGCAGGCTGCTGCAACTTCCTCTGACTCAGCGTGGAAAGCCGTCCATTCAGAAGCAAAGCAGCTGGGAAGAAGTCCCGCGATCTACTTCATATCTAGCTGCTGGAAAGTCATACACCAACTGATACCATTTACAGGCTACATCTGAACCTGTGGCGCAGTATGGTTGTTACATAATTGATCTGCAAGCGGCTCTCCACAAAGGCAGTTGAGCGGCAGAGTGGAGGGCGCTGCCTGCTAGGTTCAGTGTCATACTGTCACAGGCTCAGGTTTTTACATCTCCTTTAACTGAAGTACTAGTAGTTTGGGAGATTTGGGTACGTAGAGTCAGGGCATCGGATGGCAACACGGTTGACATTGGAGCGTTCTTGTGGCGGGGGCTTGCGGTTGCTTGTCGGTGTGCAAGGACCCCTGCTGTGCCGCTCTTTAGCGAAGTCTGTTCGGATCAGCCCTCGTAGATTCGCTGCGGGAAGATTGCACAGGAGTGGAACGGTTATGCAGACTTCTGTCAAATTGTCAGGCTTTTCAGCACGTTGCACCAGGACCACGACGGAAACAAGTGGTAGTGTAAGTAAGGACCCGACGAGACTCCGAGCATGTCGGAACACAGAGCTATCATGCACCAGACCAGGGCGGACTGCGGCATTTTCACTCGGCTTTCGGGTGGTCACGGTTTGCCAGGGCTTCGATGGGCTGTACATGTGTATAATCTGTCAGCGCGGGATTTGTGCAGAAAGTCTGCCATGGATCTCCCCAATGTCGACAAATGCAGGGCACCTAAACTGCAATCTTTTGAGGCCTCACGTGCGTACGCACAAGCCGACTTGACTATCAGGCTTAATTACAGTTGTAGGACACAGGAGGCTATCTTGTCCCCAGCGAAAGATCGAGGCGCGACTGCTATCGTGCCAGGCCGAATCCGTCTTCGCTCGTCTTACAGTTCCCGAAATCTCCTTAAGGTAAAGCCAGAATTGCTGAAGCTGAACATACGACGCGCTTGCAAGGGGATTTACGAGTTGGGATTTGAGTCACAGCTTGTGACTGTAGCCATCCAGAGGAGTGTGCCCTAAGCTGAAGCATTCACCTCGGATCGGGACGTTCGATTCGAGCATCAGTCTGGCTTGGTTTTGTTTTAATGACCTTGCAGAAGGGCCCAGAAGTCATGCTAGCGCGATTTGACCTCAATGTCTACAGTTCAAATCTTCAAGCTGAGACGGATCCGCGGGCCTTTTCGCGCGAGCACGTGCGTCTCTTTCACAACAAGGCCTGACCGGCGCCTCGACGATAGACTGCCCATTACTCCCAAAATCTTTTGTCTAATGCTACAAGATGTACATCCCTTGTCAACCCTGGACCAGGTGATTAATGCCTACCCTTGCTGTGCAGGCCCAGAGGCGTTTCCCCATTGTGCTAGGAATCTGCATGCCCCAGAGACGTGGAGACGCTACAGTCAGACATCAGCTCAGACGATATGATAGTCCCCTTGCCATCCCCTGCCCCAGCCGGCGCAAAGCTGATTGCCACTAGACTAACCGTCACGCGAGACTGTACGTGACTCAACTGCTGCAAGGGGGAGGGAGAGCGCCAGCCGGATGGGCCTTGCTACCGTTGAACGAATAGTCTATTTGTCTCCTCATCCATGTCTCGGCTGACCCCGGGAGCTACAACCCTTGTGTTCCGGACGACGCAGGACTTCGGTTTCCTCTCAGGTCGCCGTTGTGTGGGCGAGGTTAAGCCATCTCGGAAGACCCACTTCTCGCAAGTTCAGACCAGAAAGACATTTGCCGTGTGGTTCCAAGTGAGGTGTAGCTAAAGGCCTCAGCCAAGACTAGTCCGTGGGACGGAGGACTACCAAAGAGACGACTTTCTGCTGATGCTGCGGTTCACCTGCCCAGCGTTGTGGCAAGGCACGCTGCTCCACACAGGTTTTCAACTCTCAAGCGCGTGCGAACACCATGAACCTCGCATGCGACGATATCCGACAGTACCAAGCCATGCATGCTGGTCTGGGAAGTCAACTCAAGGAAATTCCGAAAGCCACTGTATTACTTATTACTCAAACTTGCAAACATCCAGCCCAGTGTAAGTGGACCCGTGTTCGGTCATGGCAGGAGACGTGGTACCTTACGATTTTGTTTTCTTGCCATGCCCTCGCGTGGTAATTCTGCGCCTTGGCTGAAAGACTGATTGCCCCTGCGCTTGCCATGCCTGTTATGCACAGGTGATGCTTAGAAACCAGGTGTTAAATTTGAGCACAGAGACAAAAGAAGACACGCGACAAAGCTCTCCTAAACTAAACCCGTCGTTATGCTTGCCATCAGTATGCGAGTGCAAGAGTCGAAACCCTTACAGCTCCTAGAAACTACGAAACCAAGTTTTAGACGGTACGGACTCAGGAGAAGTCCTGGCCCAAGATTTGTTATGAAGTTTTCGAGCAGATGGTGCCTTCAGGGATACATGCAGTGGCGGCCCCTTCGGACAACACCCTACAGAATCCGCAAGCCCCCGGCTGAAGTTGAACTCGGCACCTTCCGGCGGGATCTACGAGTCTTGAAGCTTCAAGACACCAGGAACGCAGAACTCCGAGCCCGAGCGGTCCATGGAATTTGACCGCACAGGTGCTCGTGGAATAGGTATCACGCTTCCAGCGTGGTGAATTTGCGAACACGTGGCATACACACAGAATGTATGAGCATAAATATATATATATATATATATATATTGTGTATATATATATATATTGTGTATGTATATATATATATATACACACACACCTACCGACCTACCTACCTACCTAACATACAGATTTCATGGTATTGCGTGTGAGCGTCTACTTGCGTCTGTACCGAGCAAATCAGCATAGGAAAACACAGCAAAAGTTGTGTTACTTGCCTTGCGGAGAGACATGTCGACGCGTGTGCCGAGGAACTTCCTGAGTCACGACCTGTGCATGAGCTGCTTGACGTTGGTGTCTTGCCTGCGAAGCTTCGTGAAGGCTGGAGGTCAGGCCGCCCCAGTATTCAGGATCCCTGCTGCAATTTAATAAATATACCCTTGTCAAAGGATGTGGGAGTTTCTGGGATAGTTTCAGTATCCAAGACAAGGCCAAACTCGGTCCGAAAGCGTTCCTGACCGAGATTCCAACTCCATAGGTGCATTTAGGGACCCAGAAAAAAGTAGCAACATGACATCGGTTCAAGGTCGGCAGGCATGCTCGAACGGGCCACGGCCACATCGGCAAGGTCCAGCAGGCCTGCAGCAATCATCACACAGCTGACCCATGCTGACCTTGTGCAACAAGTGCCACTCTCATGATCCTGAACCTGCACCAGGCTTCCTACCAGGGCTTGGCTGAAAACCTTGCTGCGTTTTACGCCAAGGTGGGCAAAGTCCTGATAAGCAGACGCAGATAGAGTAGCGTGTTGCACCGGTGCTGTTTTGTGTTCGCTCGTTTATGCAGCCGTCCTTTGCAACTGATCCAATCGAGCAATTTGCCCACAGCTTCATGCAAAGTGCAGCACGGAGTACTTTCAGACAGTTTCAGCCAAGGCACATTAAGTGGATGCCTAAACGGCTCGCCATCACCAAGTCTCCCTCTATTGCCTAAAGTTGAATCAGTGATAGATCCTCACACACCTTGCTTCAAGAAGCACGGTTTGCAACGGTTCTGCGCGAAACCATTCATACTGGACGGCTGGAAGGCTGGACGACGTGGTCTGGAGAGCACGAATGCACCCTCAGTTTCTGGGATGCAGAAATGCAGCGCAATTCTCAAAGCTGCAGTCCAGGCAAGGCCGAGATAGCATTGCACGTCATGCAGGCTGTCTGATGGGCACTTCTCAGACCTTCGACACATGAGAGGGCTTGCGTGCGTCGTTGCTCTTCAGTCGCATGCACATACTATGCAGCAACTTGAGGTTTGGTGTGTGGGTGGGCGTGTGTGGGTGTGTTTGTGTATGGAGGAGGGGTCTGCGTGTGTGTTCGTGTATGGGTGCGTGCATGTGGCAAACTGCTCTTCCGACCCTGCTCGCGACCTGACACGAGTCCTCACAGTAAATCTCGATTGCACAGCGCTCGGTCATGGCAACCCCGTCACACAGGGTTGTCTCTCTTTGTGCAGTCAAGGTTCTTCTTCGGGGCCAGCCCATGTCCCTGCGCCATGCTTCTCAGCAGCAGCTGGGTGTTTTGGTGCCGAAGCTCTAGAGGAGTCTTCATGTTGAGCCGTTCCTTACCTTGGTGCTGCACGAAACGGAAGAGTGGTACGGCCAAGGCCATCAAGCAACTGGTTCCGCCAGACATGGTTGTGCAGATGCGGACGGCCGTACCCTGGACGACTATGGGGCTTCTTGTAACAGCACGCAGGATAGGCTCCCAATCCTGCATCACAGCGACGAGGGGCGTAAGACTCCAGACATGTGCCACAGGTACCTGTGTCGCTTGGCCCACAGTGCAGTAGAGCAAGCGGGAATGCTAACCCATTTCCGGGCGCACCATACAACGAGAGCGAATCAACATCTTGCCGCATGGGAATGTCTTTGTTTGTTTGTACATGTGTTTGCGTCTCTGTGGGTGTGTGCAAACGGGTGCACTGCTGAAAGGATGCTCCGAGCATACGTACATCAAACCTTTAACAACCGTCAGCAGACTGGGCCATGGCACAGCGACATGACGCGACAACCGCCTAGGCAGCCTCATAAATAGCAGCAGACGCGTGCAACCCATGTCTCTGGAAAAACACAAAAAAACGCGGATACAGTCTTGGCTTAGAAACCCTTTTTGGGTTGCTTCGTGTAGAGTGTAGAGATCGACTTGTCCTCGATGTCCGTGCCAAGGTGCGCACGGCAAGGCAGATGCGTCAAGTGCTGCACTCAGACTCGTGGAGGGCGCACCTGAAAAGCCTAAACTCAGACCATGAGGCCGATTAGAGACATATCTGTCTGCAGAATCTTCAAGAGAACTCCATGCTGCGGGGCCTGGGACTTCCAACTCGAAAACGATCAGATGCTTTGGGCGGCCCACATGACAGCTCGCGCCGCCGAAACATTGTGTGGGTGACAGATCTTGGACGAGAGAGTCCGAGTTACTTTGAGGTGCAACGATATTCCGATATCCACAGCCTGCCATGGGGAATTCGGGAGGCAGAATGCTCGACAGCCTTATCTGCATCTTGATGTTCCACTTTGACTTCGATCGCCACTGCACAGAGGAGCAAGCGACTGATGCAGTAGCTCTGCGACGCAGACTACGTTTGCCCACTCCCACTTCATTCACAAGCATGTGTTAGGATGCACGACTGTGTCATAGCGGGAGCAACGCCCATGCTGACAGAGAATGTCCCGTGTTGGAGAGATGCTTCTGCCGGCGGTCCTCCAACGCATGATCTTTGAAGACTGCGATTTCCTGGACTCATCCTTGAACACGAAAGCCCAATGCCAGACGGAATGCCACAAAGTCTCCGAAGAACGTCTTGCCAAGGTCCCAGATCCGGGGCGGCCTGCCCAGTCGAGTTCATCGAGTGCTTCAGAACACCGCAGGCATCCTTTAACTTTAAAGCCATGGTTCTTCACGCAAGGTTTAAAGAGATGGTGTTCACCTTCCTTGCAGCACCTTCAAGATTGTGGTGAGGGCTTAGGGGCTACATGGCTGCTTGGGTTGTTCTTGCCACAGTCGGCTAGAAGTATGTTTCGGTGAAGTGCCTCTGTTTCAATGGTCATCCAGGACTGCTGCTCCGTCCAATGAGGCATTGCAACCCAGGCTGCATGTCTCGCAAGGCTAGCTCCACCCGGAGCCCCAGCGCAGTCGGAGCTCTAGGCCCCCACACAGCTTTGTCGGATGCCATGAGCTCCCACTCTCACGGTTGGCAACCGAAGAACCACAAACGGAGGAGGCCCGCAGGTCACATGTCCGCACTTCTTGCACATCACATGTCCGATGGCGTAAACACCGACACCGACACGCTTGCCTGGTTGAACTCCGGGTGCCTGAAACCGTGTGCAAAGGCAACTAGCTTGAAGGGGGGCTTCAGGGAAAAGGAAGGAGCCCAGTACAGATCTGTCGCTTTGAGAGCGGGCCCTTGTTTCGCAGGATCCCTGTAATTGATGCGTCAGGTATGGCTAGTGGCCATTGCCATGTTCTCCCAGCCGAGGCAGACGCGCCCCTTGGTTGCGCCTGCCGATGCAGCTGGCAATGCCCAGGGCGGCTCGCAGATCTGGTGCGGGAGCCAACAGGGTTTGCGTTGTGATGCGGTGATACGAGACTTCAAGACCTCAACAGCTGAAACCCGCGCGCCATCAACAAGATGACCCATTCTGCGCTCTGGGCTCCGGATCTCGAGCAGTAGCGCTCGCGCTGTCCGCAAATCCTGAAGCTGCCGAAGACCAAAATGGTTCTGCGAACTTATGTAGAGAAAACATCGACTACATGGACTAGTGTCAGACTGTGTCGTCTACCATTGAATGCAACTGGGCAAGTTGAATTGCAGGGCGGGGTCTGCGGAAGCACTTCAGCTGAAGCTTCCGAGCATACGTGCCTAAGTTCCTGCCTCGTGACCTGGGTATGCGGTGCAACTGACGGGGGAGTGGTCCGTGCTGCAGCTGCTGAGTATGCCAATCAGCAGCTTCACATCATAGCCACCATGATACGTCAGAGCTTCACACGATTTTAGACAGCAAGCACCAGAAAACTCTATATCCCGGCGCGCAGGTGGCAAGCAGATGGCACTCGCTACCCAATCGGTGAAGAGTCCTACCCTGCGACCGCCATCCAGGCAGCATCGCCTCTGCAAAGGATGTCAATCAATGTTCTTGCACGAGACTTGCAGTAAGAGCTCCCCTGGGCCCACATGCGGCATCGAAGGCACATGAGGGTACAGATGAGGGGTACTGCAGCGGTGAACTCGGGTATGTTTGTAACCCTACTTAAGCCCATTGACTAAATGTTCTGATTATCTTTTGCCCCAATGTCAAACCTGGACGTGGGCATAGTCTTTTCGCATGTTGGGACGATTGGTTTTTTGAGATGCGGCACTGAGATTTGGCACAGGGTGGCCAAACTGGACCGATCTGAAGGTTGGAAAGGTAGTAGTGATAAAAACCTTTGCTAAGACCCCTATATTTGGAGATGTGTTTTCGGCACACACACACACATCCTCTCAGGATGCGCCGGGCATATGGATCGTTGGAGATGAGAGGCCTTCGAAGCGTCTCGAGATCTGGGAGATCTAGAGCATCAGAACGCCCAAGCGGGTAAATTAGGCTCGCAGTCTTCATTGAGTCCTGAGGGTTTCCCAACCGCTCAGAGAACAGCTGTCACGAGGGCACTGCCCTTAAAACCTTTCCGGCAGGTGGAGCAAGAACTAAACAGCAGCTAGAGATGCGAGCCTGCCGCACACGCGCAGTCGATGTGCCCCATGGTACTCCCGAAATCTTCCTGGATTCATGTTGAATGACGTATTGTCCGAGCAACTCTCTCCGCTTGTCCTTGCGTGGCTCGCGAGCACGGAATTGACTGAAAGCTTGGGAACCGCTCCTGCTATTGCAGACCGTATACAGAGAACTCTGGAATTGGAATTGAGCTTCATGCGTCAAGTTGACTGCCAAGACTGACAAGCACCCAGGCATCGGAAGTGAGCCACAACTGCTGCAGGTAGCATGAACAGCCCTAAGGTCTTGAGCCATGAGGGTCATGAGAGAGCTTGAACCTTCAATGCACCTAGCCCAAGCCCATTGAAATCGATCGAAGCTTTAGATACTGAAAGTCGATTCGGTGGAGGCCTCCTCCAGTGCGATCTTACTCGGCAGATGTACAAAGTCGGAATGCAGCAGCTCGGCTTGCTGGGTGAAGCTTCAACAAGGGCTTCAGAAGTGTGTCGGGGTTATGGCTATCTGCTGACTTGTCAGATACAGCTGGAATTTCGAATCCACTGGCCTCTAGTAGCTATCCAGCTTGAGTGGTTGTAGCTTTATGTGCAACGTTTGAACAACCAGCTTAGGATTTCCTACTCCGTGAACTCTGGAGTTTGGACTTTCAAGAGCGGTGCCTTGAGCTGAGGCATGCGAGCTATCTGCTCACCGCCCTTCTGGATACAGCCGCCAGCTTACGCAGACATATTTTCTTACTCTCCCTCGCTCTCTTTCTCTCTCCACCACTGCGCAAGTCCAAGTCCGTTTGGCGCGGCCCCAGGCCAGTTCGGAAGGGCCAAACCCTGAGAGCCCTACTAAGCTCAAGTAGGTCTGGTACCCTCGACCCTTTGAGGCGGTGACCCTGCCTTTGTGCTCCTTCCTTGGCTATCTGTGCGGGCCAAGGGTACCCAACCCTTCAAAAGTGCTGATGTTTGCTGCCCACTCACGGCGTCGATGGTGTGCCACAGACGGTTCAGCTTCACTCGTACAGACCGAGACCCCCAGCAGCCTTCGCCAGCCAGAAGATCGTCTGCCGGGTTGACGCCCAGGTTATGCCAATCACCGCGGGCCCTGTGCCCCAGGCGTGTCTCGAAGCTCCGGTTCGCTCAGTGGTCCTTCCTGTTTCTGGCCGGTGCAAAAACTGGCTGCTCTTTTCTTTGGGCCAACAGAGAGGGGGCCCTGCGGGCTGGCACCAAAGGAAAATTTGTGGCAGGCAACAGGCGGGCGAGCGCTGCAGTTCCATGAAAGGTTCTACGGGAATGATCAGAATCGGCCCAGGGGCAGCGGTTGCGGGAGCGCTTATTTCCCCGGGAACCGCTTCGACGCAGGCACCGGACTAAGCGCCGCTGGAGAGGAGCGGCGTTTTGCTCCCAAGGAGAACGGGCCCCGGGCCAGGTCGAGCACTTCGGCAGCAGGGACCCCGGCACCAACGAGCATGACGATGCTGTCGCGTTGCTCAGCTAGTTCAGGGAGGGCAAGGGGCGACCCGGATAGCTACACCACCCACCAGGGATTGGTCTGGAAAGTTGGGGAGCATGACAGCAAAGAAAAGGACAAGGAGGAACAAATGGCCAGGGTGCTCGAGGCCCTCTTTGGCAAATTCACGAAGTCCGCCTTCTTCGCTGGAGTGGAAAGCCTCTTTCACGATTTGGATGTTGATCCACACCGTCCCTGCAGGAGCTCCTGCGGGATCCTTACCACTTCAGGGCCGTTGGGTCAACTGGAGGAGCTTCAAAGTGGGAGGCCGTGGCAACGGGCCCTTTCGTTGGACGGAGGGCATTGCCAGAGTAGGCGAGCATCCTCTTGAAAACTTGGGGCCTATCAGAGTGCTGCACAAACAGACCAAAGGTTGTTCCCTCCCAGCTCATGAACACATCCTCAAGCTGCCGCTTGTCTTTGGCAGCCCTGCCGGCTGCTTCTTGACGATGGTCCTCTTCACAACTCTCTTGGCCGGGAAAGCGGCGCCATTGGAGGAGTCCAGGCCCGCCAGGAAATGGAAAATGTATTTTGGGACGATCGTGCCAGCTTCAGAGCCCCGCTGCACTCAGCCGCAGCGCGCTTCACGCTTGCCTCCACGACTTGGTTGGCTTCGTGCCTCCATCCTGCTCCCCAAATTAAAGTGGGACTTCACCCAGCGGAGCGTTAACGGGGACCTGAGTTCAATTGACACATCAAAATGCAATGCATCCTGGACTGGATGCCTTTGCGGTGCAGCCCCAGGGTGCCCTGGCACGGAGGTCCCTTGACCCACGCTGGGAAAGGCGCCGGACAGCCACTTGGGTTTCTTTGACGGGCGCCGACCCAGGCATGGTCACACGAGACACCCAACATTTTTTGCGGGGGTACTGCCAGCTGATAGTCCTTTTGCCGCTTCCAATTGCCACAGATGCCTGGCAGAAACGTAGCGTTGCGTAGCTTCCATGGCGCTACTCCAACGGATCAGGAGTCGGGAATCCCGAACCCGCCAGCGACCGGGCGCTAAAGCTGTCACCGCAGCTGTGGCTCCGAACTCCTTGGTCCAAAACGGCTACGTCTCTCTCTCTCTCTCTCTCTCTCTATTTCTCTCTCTGTCTTTCTCTCTTCAGTGCCACAGCGAGATGCGTGCCTTGCTCTGAAAGGCTACGCCTGCTCTTCGGACTGCCGGCTTGGAGGGCCATCGCCCGAACCGTTGGCCTCTTGGGTTACATGTGGGGATCAGCTTGCGGGGGTTGGAGGCTTGCTGCCCGCAACAGTAGAAGGCCTTTGGAGTTTTGCGAGCCCGTGCTGAAGGTAGCCGGATATGCGCGGGGTTTCAGCTTCAAGAAGGCTACATCTAACAGACAACCGAGCACCAAAGAGCCTTTGCAGCTCACGGGCCTTGTCAAAGCGTTCCCGGCCATGTTTGACGAGTTTTATGACAGCCCCACAGGTATTGGGGCCTCACGCCTCTGGGGTTTCTGTGGTCCGGCAGTGGTTAGGACGGTATGCAAGTCGCCTGAAGTATCTCAGTTGCGTAATCGCGTGAGTGTGAGTATGGGCCAGGCCACGTGTGTATTTTTGTTGTTTACCGCTCAGGGCTGGCTTCACCATCTAAGAAGCTATGCAGCCAGCTGAGCCCACTCTGAGCACTCACGTGAGGGGGCCGGAATTTGACGGCGACATAGGCGAGTCGCAGCTAGTTTGTTGAAATTCTGAGGATGCCTCCGCCCAGGCATCGAGACAACAGCTTGGTGCGCTGGTTGTCACCGAGAGGCCCTGACTGTTTTAGCTTTACGGATGTCAGTCTTGATGGAATCCAAAACCTGAGCTTCAGCCCACCACCTAAACAGGTTTTTCACTGGTGACAGTGACTGTTCGGAGGTCTAGTTGTTTTGCGATGGATCTGATTTTCACTGGTAAGAATGGAAAGGAATGCTTCAAGTCGAAGATGCCTTCGGCTAGTCCGGCCGTCCAGCCAGCACAAGGGTAAGCCAACATCCTCGAAAACAGCAATTCTGGAAAGAGCGCGAGCCTCCGACGGCCCCTGCAATGAGAGCAGCCAGCTCCGATCGCTACTCCAAGATTAAACTGATGCTAGCCTGTGTGCAAGCGTTTTATTAGGAAAGACCCTGCATTGGATGCGGATGCAGGGCGGGCCCCTTGAGTCAGCTACACGTTAGCTGTGATTTTTTTGGCAGACGTGTCGGAGCTCCGAAACTAAATCCAGACTGGAGAGAAGAGAGTCAAAGCTAGGGAAAAGTCGAAGCTTCTTGTCCTGCCAGGAATGGCGTACTGCTCTTTGACCTCTAGAGCCTCTAGATGCGAAGAGATGCTTGGGTGAAGAGTTTGAAGGTTTCACCGAAAGATGAGCCTCTATGCAACTTATTTTGGTTTTTTCGGCTCATGCCTACATGGCTCCAGTCGCCTCCAACGGCCGTGATGACACTTTTGCTTGGCAAGTGGACTGCTTGTACCTATACTTCTAGCCGCGGCGACTGGAGTCCGTAGTGTTCTCACAACTGCAGCCTGGAGCCCAGCACTCGCAAGTAGGGCTACAATCCAAGGATTCCAACCTTAGCCACAGGGCCCGCATCAACCGGAATGCTTGGCATGAAAATGCTTCTTAGCTGTATAGGGCCCTGCAACGTAATGCACTCTAGAGTCTACGCAGCACGTGGCAAAGGAAACCTTGGCCTGAAACCTGCGCAGAGTGATTTTGGGTCCAGCTTGCACGGAGGATGTTTCTCCGTGTCGGTGCCCTGCAGTACTGCCGGGTTCCCCGTACAGGTGAAAGAGCAGTGCCGGCAGCTTAGGGCTAAGGGAGCTTCGGAATTGCAGGGCGCTCCACCGTGTGAAGACTCAAGCGATGCTTTTGAGTCTTCAACTCGCAGTTTGGCCTTCGCCTCTGCCTGACTGCAGGCATGGGTCTCTGGATCTTCATTCCAGCATCGGAAATGTCAAGCTTCAGCTGCCGCAAGTCGATTGTACTTCCTAGCACAGTGCGTCCAGGCTCCCCACACAGCGGTTGTTCTACTGGAGGCCATGCTTCAATAGGGTGCCAAAACATAAGCCACAGACCGACAGCGTGAGCCACCGGGGTGATTGAAACACATGGCACTCCAAAGGTACGCACGGTTTACCTAGGTGAGGGGTGGTGGGGCGGTGATGACTTCACAAATTCCGTCGGCACTTGACCTATCCTTCACAGGAGTCTGCTTGTACCAGTGCGCGTGGATGACGGGGCCGGTCAAGACACCTTAGGCCGCTTGAGCCCGAAGGCTGCTACGCGGGACCCGAATATGGAATCTTAGACCCTCCTTGTAAGAAGTGGTAGGAAGCCCTAAACGTTAAACACCATTCAAGAAAATCCCTTAGTTGGCATTTGGTGTGGAGACGACCCCTTGGTTGGAACCCGTTTGCGGCCCAGGCCTCCATCTTGAGCCCCTGGCCGGCTGGAGGTGAGGTGCTTTTCAGCCTTCTGGGGGCTGGTTACGTAGTATTCCACAGAGTCTTCACGCTATGAAGCTGATGTGTCGCACTGCAAACGATGATTGACGTTTAGAGGTTGCCTGCAGAACACAAAACGGGACACAAACCGTCGTGGGAGACTGGGAAGCGGCTTCCTAACTCGAGATCTTGCAAACTGCTCGGGACAAGTTTGCTCACTTCACACAGAGTTTTGTGTCATTCACGCATTTTCACGCGGCCAGCATTCTACAGGAAAGCTCCTCTGCTCGACATGCTGGCTCATTTTAATCAGTAAGAAGCCTCGTTGCCCAGCATGAGGCCTGGAACACACCCCGGCAAAAAGCACAACTGCATGTTGAGATACTATGTGAGCAAACGACACCCGATCGAGCCGATGCACAGGCTTGCTGAGCTGAGGATCCCTGCGGAGCCGAAGACGAGCCCGTGTGATAGCCGCTGCGTATGCCAGAGGTCCTTCCCGTTGCTATGCCTCCCCGCTATGCGGAGCAGACACGCACCTTGATTTGGTAGGCTACGTGCTCTGAGCCGCATGGCATGTAATTGGGGAGAGCAGAATGACCGCTCGCCTCGGAGAGTACTCGTAGTCGTAGCAGTTTGTGACACTTTCGTGATCCTGGGCGGTCATGGCTTCCTGCCCGCGGCTGCAAAGCAGGTTTTCCTTCCTCTACAGCCATGTGCGATCCCAGCACGCTCTCAGGGCTCTTCTCGTATCTGTGGACGGCCGAATCTGCGCGCCAAAGCTTTAATTTCGTCGTTGCGCAATTCTGCGGAGCTCCCCTTCTCGGGCGATTCTGAGGACACGCACCCTTGCAGCAACACACCTCCTAAGCCTTTCGGGGGCAGCAATCTTGCAGGTCCTGACAGTCGCATGCCGAATTACCTTTGCACCCGACATGCTCGTAATTCATGGTGCTACGGAATAGAGTCATCGAGGCCATACCTCCCAGCCAAGTTTATCCAAGACCTTGGCTGAATGTGCTACAGCATTCAAGCAACGTTCGAAGAGCATGCGCAGGTTTGCTAGGGCAGAGCACTTCTAGTGTGAACTGCATGCAGTACCACCAGCACAGTTTGAATGAATATGGTTGACCCAAAAGGGGGGGCTGCAGTCACCGCCCTCCGTTCCAAGTGTCTTGTCTCACCTGCCAGGGTGCGTCTGCAGGACGAGCTGTCGGACTATGTGAAGGCGGGCCTCGGCACCAAACTTCCGTGGGAGATCCGAGCCCGTAGAAGAACGAGAAGCGACCCACTTAGGCTCATTGCAGTGTATCCGACCTCTAGTTACTCCAGGCCTCTAGCCCCGCCGATTCGTGTTGATGGATTCTCCTCTTGAACACGCTGCTGTGCAGCTCGTCAGTCCTCGTGCCGAACAGCCAACAGCCTGTTTTTGTGATCTCACGATCAAAGCGGAAGAACCCCAACAAAGCCCCCACCTCGACCATCCAAATCCCACGGCGACCCCGCCCCCATCCAGGGCCTTCCGAAGACCCGCCTCGTCCGTTTAAAAGAGCGGCGAGGCCGAAGAGCGGTGGCTCTGGGTTTCTTGGTGATTCTTCTTTGTGGGAGAGAGACGGGTCTGGGTTCTTGTCGCCTTCATGCCCTCCCGTTGCTCCAAAAACCACCTCCCCTGCTAGAACTAAGCATCCTCCTGTCATCCTCCTGTCTTCGACCTATTGCACTGGCAGGCCGAAGCTATATGTTCTCTAGCAAGATTCCTCCGCAAGTTTCGTCTCTTTTTTGTGCGAGGCCTGATGCTGGCCGCTGGACTGCGTTGAATGGGAATACTGCCTGCAAGCCCACGGCCATTCCAGTCCTGCAGCGCTCAGAAGACTTGTTCTCTCCATGCTCACGATGCAGCAGCCACTCCCGTTCTTGAAAAAGAAGTAATGCCTGGAAGACAATGCCAAAAAAAATTTGCTGAACGTAAACCTCCGGTTTAGAGAAAAAGGCCGCACCAGTCAATCACGAGGCACGGATGGAGGGTGTTTGGCGATCGGATGCGCCAGTGACCATCTTCCTGGACAGCCACATCGAGGCTCCCTCATGCAAGATTCGGGGGTCACATGAGTCGCGATGGGTGCTTTCTGCGACGAGCCGACGAGTCTCCTTTAGGACGTTGCAAGGCCACATTGGTGTTCTTTCGGAAGGCGAGGAGTGAGGCAGTTCAGAGTGGTAATGGTGCTGAACAAATACTTTTCAGAGGCATTCATTCTGATTTCGTTCCTTTCGGATCCCCTTCAAATCCGCGGCCAGGCCACACGTGGTTGGATCGAGCCCATACTAGCTCGCATCGCAGAGGAGCGTTCTGTCTGGCAGAGGCATGCATTTAACTTCCTCCGGCTGGACCACCAGGACAAGCGGCATGTGGTCGTTCCCAGCATCGACACCCTCGGCGCTGAGGCGGGCTAGAACAGAGCCTGTAGATTACATATAGATCATGAAGCACGAGGTGCCGAAGTTTGTCAGTCAAAGCCGGTGGACATGTCCAAGGTCCGCTGAGCTGTAGTCGTGATGTTCAAATCAACCGCGTCTGCCAAAGAATCGACAGCACATGTCTCTTTGCTCAGCCTTTTTGTATAGATGGCCTTCTTGAAATCTCAAACAGCACGACATCGAGCTACAAGTAGGGCTTGTGCCTTCCTAGATTTGCATATTCTGGCAAGCAAGACTACCAGAGGTTGCCAGAAGTGAATGAGGTTCATGGCATGAAGTCACTCCGCAGCTCAAAATCGTCACATGCCACAGGCATGTAGCTGTTTGTTTCACAGTGAGCCGAGGCCCAAGCTCCTGAGATCCCCTGCGACCCCTCAGGACATGGTCTACCGCGTGGGCGGCGGCCTTGGAGTGCTAGGCCGGTCGGGCGCAGGTTTCACCACCTCTGCGCACAGACTATGATGTACGAATGTATGCTTGTGCTTGTAATAAATTCAAAGGCGGCAGCCGGAAGGTAGTTGCGCAGATGAAACTCCGGCACGCCAGAGGATCAGAGGGCTGCAGGCCGCGAGCTTCCAAGCAGGGTACCCTGCAGGCGGAGCTTCGCTAGCATCCTTGATCTGAAGGGAAACCGCCGAGCGGAGTATTCGGCCAGTCAAAGGGAGGAACGATTCACAGCCCTGCTTGAAGGCTTCTCCTGGACTCTGGGGCAGGCCGCAGAACTTGTCCTGGTCACGGGAGGGTGGACTTAGGACTTGAAAATAGGTAGCAGCTCGAAGAAGTCTTCCAAGCTCCAGGCTGCGCGCTTGTTTCGCGAAGGGTAGATTTCAGACAGTCTTGGATTCCTCTACCTCCGTGGTCATGGCACGGTGCAGCCAGAACGCGGCGCACCGTCTTCCTCTCATTACTACTCTTGTTTGTCATTGTTCTCACGGTGAAGCGCCACACTCGTGGATGGAACAGGATCCTTATCTCGCCGATACCGGAGGGGACGGCACACGACCGGCGAAGCCGGGGTTCCTAGGGATGTATGTTCGTGGTTGATCCCTATGTAGGTGCCTCAGAAAGCTCGAGGTTCCTTAGCGCGGGCTCCCAAATTCACATTGAGGATCCCATTATTCAAGGTTTTATTTTGCTGTCTGCTATGTTTCTGAGGTTTGATACAGACTGGGAGGCTTACTTGTTTTGCAACTGGTGGTACCGAGAGCTGCAAAGGATTTCTGTTGATAGTTGAGGCCCGGCTGCCAAAAGGCTCACATCTGCGAGGGGCCCTCGTGCGTAAGCCTTGTCTGGCCCAGGTCCCCAGTTATGGCCGGAGGACCATGGGCGAGTTGTGGATGAATACATTGCACTGCCACGGCTCCAATCACCGGTAGTTCGAGAATGAATGCAGAAAAGATCTTGTCGTCAAGGTGCTTAGGACAACTCGACGATGCAGCTCTGGCCGGACACATTCAAAGTCTCCCACTGCATCTTCAAGAACCCGAAATCCCTCCCCTGATGGGGGACGGCAACGGAAAGGACTCTTCGCCTCCGACACCCGCGAGTTCCTCCGACTCGGCGGCATGTCGCTCAGCCGTCAGAGCTAAGACAGCGCTGTGTTCCTGGAATCCAGCTGAAGCTGTGCTTGATCTAATTTTTTGCTGGGGTTTCGACCAGGCATTCATGCAGACAGGGTTGCACCTGCAAGTCCTTCAGCTCGACATGCCAGCGCCGGTTTGCTCCACGTAGGTGCATTCAAGGATTCGGTCAAGTCAAACCATGACATGCCGGCGCATACAGAACACAGAGAAGCACCTTATGATTCCCCTTGGCTGGTGGTGCTCAAATTTTGGAAGGGCCATGCAGCCATGCAGCCGAAGTTACATGGTAGCTCGCCGAGCTGGAAGCAGTATGCGCGAAGGGCTTTTGCGAAGCTTTCAAGCCAAGTCCCACCCAAAAGGCCAGCCCCTGCCCCGTACAGACTGGGCGGCCCAACCCTTCTCCGCCTTCACCTGGATGGCTTCGGAAAGCCGGGCCTCGTCCTCTGAGAGCGTCCGCCTGACCCGCATTGCTCACGGCGACTGGAGAGGGCTTAGCGGAATGGGATCCCGTGGCAAAGGCTTAGTGAGGATGGTGGGTTTAGCTTCAGGCCGTTGAGACCTACTGCTGCTTGATAGGTCCCACAAGGGCTTTCGCTGCAGAGTATGCTCCACATCCGGTGGCAACTGTGGGAACTTGCACGGAGCTGAAGATGGGATACAAACTGAGAGCTCGCTGCTTCTGGCTGTGACGGTCATGAATATCTGGCTAAACTGCTGAGTGGGCGGGAAGGAGACGAGGGCCTAGGCCTGGAGAGTCGGCCTTGGCCTTGGAGATGTGGGGAAGCCCAAAAAAGCAGAGTTTTGGGCTCGGGGGGTCGTCGGGTCGTGCTTGTGCCAGGCTGAGAGCGGAGACGGAGACAGCGGAGACGGGAACGGATCTGAGGGCCAGGCACGGGCCCAGGCCTTCCGGGAGGAAGAAGGGAGACCCTAAGATTTTTCCAGAGGGGATTTTGGGGGAGATTCCTTAGGTCCTTAGGAGATCCTATGCTCAAGTGAGGTTTAAAGAAGTTCGCGACAGGCCTCAACGAGTCTTCGGGTCAGGCTGAAGTTTGCTTCTGTTGGAAGGCTCCTTTTGAGACAGCCTAAGCCCAGCTCAAAGACAGGACTAAGCTCGGGTGGCTCGAGGAATTCGATGCAGAAGAAGTAGAAGAAACCCCATCTTAACTCGACTTGGGCTTGGGTAGACCCAGCAGGAGGCGGAAAATAATGTGGTCTTCCCGTGGATGCTGCGATTGGTGGCCACAGACACTGTCCCAAGCTGAGATCATCAATCCTTCGACAGCTGTTGAGCGTCCTGATGCTTCACCTTACCGATCCCGTGTGGTCAGTTTGGAGCACTGCGATCTCCATCGTAGCCAACCCCGACTCAGAAGTTGTGGCTGAGGTCGAAGTCGCACGGATCGCGTCGTGCTTTTCCAGCCCCTTGTGTGTGCGAAAGGTGCTGAAGGCAGCCTGGGATGGGTGGTTTGAGCTTTGGGACTGGCTGAGGGTGCAGAGGGCGTGCTTATCAAGCTCCACGAAAGGACCTGTCTGCCGCGCTGATAAACCACACTTTCCCTGGCTCTCGACAAGACCCAACCACGAGCAGCAAGTCCCTCCCAACGTCTGGTTCTCTGCAGGATGTGTCCATGCTGATGGACCGCGTGGAAGAAGTGGAACCTCTTCATCTGGAGTCCACAAGGCTGCGCTCCGAGATGCCCGAAGGTCACAGGCGATGAGGCTTAGATTCCGACCCCATATCTTTGGATGTTGGGGGGCCTTGAGGATTGCACTCACATGTCCCCGGTTTGTGCTTGTGCGTTGTGTTCGAATCCTTCTGGGCTTCCCAGAGCCAAGAAACTGTTCCTTCTGCCGAGGATTCATTTCACACATCTGCTGCAGTTCCTGTATGCTCGTCCCAGTCGGGAGCTCCCTGGCCCAAGACTTTCTTCAGGCGGTGGGGAGGGCTGCTGACATTTCTTGCGGGGTCCGTGTTGGGATCTGTTTCATCGGCTGCTCAGGTTTTCGTGGTCTTTGTGCTGGGGTCAAGGAACAAATCCGCGAGTCAGTGGGAGTGCTTGATGGGTACCCCTTGGGGTCATGAATCAAAAGCACTTGCTCGGTGCATGATGCCGACCATAGCTTAGCTCCTGCCCGCCCTTAACCGAAACTATCAGCTTCTAGCTTGTTTGCAAGGAACGGAAGCGCGCTGATGCGGTGGATTGACTGTGTGCGCAGGCAATCGCCTGAAAACCACCGGGAGAGACGGAGAGAGAGTTGGGGGGTGGGAGGGATGCTCCCACCTTAAACCTGGAGCAAGCAAGAGTATGCGGGAGGGTCGCTCCTTCTCCTTAATCCCTTACGAAAGACAGAGAGAGAGTAAGGATGTGTGCTGGCCAGTGTGTAGCTCTATATTCACGTACCTGTGCATCGATACGTATGCTACGTAAAGTATCGTAGTATAGTACATACTCAAATCTGTTCAACTTGGATCGAAGGATCTCGAGCCTCTTTGATTCGGGTCTGGCACAGCTGATGCTCAGATGTCCTGAACGGCCAAGCTTACGATTATACACACTGCGACCGTAAATGTAAGATGCACGTTGGCATGTACAGCCATAGCCGTCTCATGTCCAAGTCTTCACGCAGGTCTCTGGATTTTCGTCACTCCTGGCCCAAGGAGCCGCTCAAGGATGAGAGGCAACGCGGCTCAAGCAAAGCTCTAGCACGGCAGAATGCCCAGCAAGTAGAGCTCGGTAATGTTGTTGTCGTTCTTGGTAATTATGGGATTCTGTGGACGTCCGGCGTGTTCTTCGCTTATTATTGTGCGTTCGTCTCTTCTTTGTTGGTTTCCTATCTTTGGCTGACACCTAGCCTTACCACTACTACTAGCACTTACTGCAATCAAGAGATGTCTTGATGGGATTCGCGGGTGCATTGCAGGGCATGTGGAGTACTCGTTGGTGATCTACACAAATACACATAGATGTACACGAGCAGCTGCACACATCAGAACTGCAAGGTGCGACGCGTTCCCATGAAAACATGATAAATTTGGGTGCGTTTGATCTAGAAATCCATGCCGAAGTCCCCAACTACCTGGAGAGTGAAGGAGCCCCCGGGTGTTTTTCCACGTGCTCGAGCCAGAAGGTTAATTCAAATTCATGTTATTTGATGAAAGGTGGCGCGCTGCAGAGACCTAGCAGAGTTTCCGACTGGCAGGTTGGGAACGATGCTGGAAGGGGTGGAGCAGATCATGATCCAGCATGAGAAAGAGGGTTTGATTCGGCCGCTTGACTGGAATCTGGAGTCACCAGAAACTCTGCTGCAGATGGTCGCTTCTGATGTTGTAAAATCGTATCGTCGTATCCCCAATCTATGCGACAGCTGGAGGTCCGACAAAATGTGTTTTGGCGGGTTTGCCTTCAGGCAATTTTGGCTTCTCAGTGCCCTCACGTCCTTAAGTCCTTGAACGAGGCCTCGTAAAGAAAAGCAGGACCCGCTAAAGTTCCCATCGTCATCACACCACTGCAAGTTGAAGCCTTCAGCCCATGAGACAGCATGGAATATCTCTCGTCGTTCCAACATGTTTACCCTCCGAAACTGGCACGCGCCCTTCCTGCTGAGTGCTCAGGCTGCATTGGATGAACCCGCTCCCCACTCCTGCCACTCGGTTGCACCAGGTTGGGTTGTACCTGCAGTGCAACATGCCTGCGGGCTCGTTTTGCTGGGCTTAGTGTTGACAGGCTTTCACTCGAGTTCGCACCTTTCCAAACAGCCATCGGCAGACGGACAGAAGCCTCTGAATGTCCCATGAAAGACTCAGTCCGGCGAGGTCACTCAAGATATTTCGAGGTACCACCCAAGTCACCAAATGCCCAAAGGTTCCAGAGAGCGGGCTAAAATGGTATGGTAGCGGGGAGCAATCGGTGAATAGGGGATACCATCGCCACACTGCGAGTGATCTTGGAATGAAGTGAAGGCATCACCTTGCCCACTGGAAGACGGCAGGTAATCCCAGCACAAGGGACTACTAGGCGCTGCCATGCCACTGCCTGCAGTCTTCGGGCTAAGAGCGAAGCTAGAGATGAGGCGTGGCTGCAGCACGGCGGATACCAGTGCGACGTCTGCTTAAATCCGGATCTTCGAACTGGCTACCAGCATGCTTCTGGGACCGGACCATAAGCAGTCAGACCTTGCAGGATCATTTGCGCCTGAAAGTGCCGGGGCTCCTCCGCGTCATGATTGGGGCTGCTCCCGCTAGTCTTCCGCCTGTAGAGCTAAAGGTCAATGAGGACAATGCACGCGACCACTCGAAGCTGCTTGAGCAGCGGACTGGCTACGCGACCAAGCTGCAAGTGGTGCCGGGTTCCTCGGGGGTTTCGGGGGGCCCTCGGGCGGCTCAAGGCCTCCTAAGTTGTCAATGTCTCCGTTGTCGAGCCGAATTCGGTGCTCTGACCCAATGTGGACACCTCTGCCCGGGGATCTGCAACTCAAGGACGCTTGTGCCAAATGCGCCGCCGCTTTGCTGCAAATGCATCTTCTGCTAGTTTGCCAGAGCCACTCTCCGATGGACTCGCGTTCGGTCATATCTCAGAAGTGTTTTAAGACGCAGCCAGCCTTGCAGTGGCTTTGAGCTTAGGTAGAAACCCTTGTCAAGCTTCGCAAAGAGATTCACGACTGGAGCAACAACGCGGCGCTGCAAAGAGGAATCACCGATTCTACCAGCAGGGTCTAGGCCGCAAATCCCACTACGCCACCATCTCAACCAGACCTCACATCTGAAGGAGCCCCTGTCTCCTATCCTCGCTGCGACACGGGCAAGGAGCAGCTGAGCCACTTGAAGAATTTGGGATTCGGCCACAAAAGCGATGTAACCGTCCTTGCATGTGCGGCATCTCTCTCAGGTCTGTCTGTGTCCCCCAATGTGGTCCATGGAAGCCTTGGCGTCGAGGTTGAAGTGCAAGGCAGGGAATGGAGCCTGAGTCCTCTCTGGCAGCTGCACTTCATCACCTACGGCCTTGCAAAGAAAGCTCCCGAAAAATCTGCAGGTTCCATCGGCCATCACGTTGCAGTTGCCGTGCTTCCCATGGACCGGGCGCCCGATGTGACCAAGACTCCAGCTTCTCAAACCCGACGATGCCCGAATGCTCATGAAGTCTACCGGCAAACAGAGGGCTTTCCGGAAAGAGCTGTCGCTTTTGGTTTTCCTCATCGTGCCTTCCTGCCTTTGCCCTTTTCGAGGAGACGATGCCCCTCAGCAGCAATCCTTCGCGATTCAGAGTCTCCCTGCGAGGACTGCGAGCTGCCAGCTGCATGGCAGGGGACTGGCAGGACATCCGCAGATCCTCCCTCGGGCTGTTGTTGGTAGAGTTCCTCGAAATATCAGTAATTCGCAACCTGGGAGGGAGCAGGGAGATCTAATGTATGAGCTGCATTTTCAACTCCCCGTCTGGCAAGTATGTGAGATAAACGCGATCCGCTGCGATCGAGTGAAACTTCCAGGAAAGTGCTTCGTCAAGCTGAAATTCCTCGAAGTGTTCCTTGGAAGTCCAATCCGTCGGCTGTGAGCATTCTGGCTTGTCGCGAGAGCCGAACCAAGTGGACCGTCATCGAGACAGGTCAGAAGTTCCAGTGATCCAAATATCGAACACGAACTCGCAGAAGCCTTGCCGGAGTGGGGCCGTAAAAGACCGGAGGCTGATGAACCCAGCTGCAAGGTTGTGCAGCCGCTTGCCTGCAGATTTTAGACGCGAGGGTGCTCCGCTTCACGATAGAGCGCCGCAGATTCCAAACTGGACCGGGACGCAGCAAGTCCAGCAGATCCGCCTCCGAAACGCTTGGATATCCATCTCGTTTACCAGCTATCTAAGGCTTACGAGTGGCTCAAACCTTGCCTTTCCTTAAAGACAGAAAGAAGCCCAAAGAAGAGAATGATCCCGTTGCGACAGACAGGTTCCGCTGCTTGAAGTCGGAAACGCTTTTCCGTTTTGCCCCTGGTGAGAATCGAGGCTGGCATCCCGAGAGTCCGAGAGCCCACAAGAGCTCCCTTTCTCCCAAATCTTGGGGCCAGGCTGCCTTCGATGCTGGGCTTTGTTGCGGAACGAGCAGACCTTTGGCCCCTGGGAAGCACCTGCACTCTCCTTTGAGACTGCTGAGTGATCTTTAGCCCTGCAGGCGTTGGGGCCTCAGGATTTGCCTCAGGCGCAGAGCACTCCATCCAGGCCGTGAGCTGCGTCGAGCGCATCACAGAAGGAGGTGCAGGTGCGCATTGCTGGCATTTCAGAGTCCTTTTCCTCGTACAGTAGCCTCCTTGCGCCAAGTGGAGGCACGCTGCAACAGATATGAGGCTTCTTCAGCTGACTTCGAACCGTGAAAAGCCGGACCGCACGTTTGAATATAATTGCCAAGCTGCCTTGCAAGTCTGTGTAGACTATGTTTGTCCATCATGCCGATGCTGGGAAGGCACAGTGCGGCTGGCATGGAGAAAGGGCCCCGCCGGCGAGGGAGCGACGATTCCGGCCGAGCAGCTGGAGGACAGCTGCTCTTTAAAATGCAGTCACTGAGCATTGAGAGCCGTCTCCTCTCCGGCCTCCTGCAACTGAAGCCAGATTTCCTGGGCATAGAGTCCATCATATCTTGAAGCCCGGCTTCTGAAATTTCGCTTTGCCAGGCTCTCCGCCTGCTGGCAACCTGGGCAGGCCACCAACTCGACTTCCTTCCGTCACAAGAAAGGCTTCATAGCACGAAGTAGAGGCACTGCGCAAGCCTCCGCCGGAACGTGAGCAATTATGGCTAATTCAAGAAGAGAAGAGGCTTCAGGCGGCTTCAGGGTTCGAGACGTTCTAGGTGTGCAGCCTTCGCATCGTCAGGCTGCCTTCACAACCTGCCTCCTCCGAGCACGGCCCCGGCCTCTGCCAAGCAGAGCGACGCTGCCGAGGCGGTGGCGAGCACCATGGCTCTTTTTGCCGGAGGGAGCTATGTCAGTTTCCGGTTTTTTGGAGGGACTTCGAGGTGGTTTATTTCTTAGTGGGGGGTCTGCAGAGTTTCTTTGAGGGGCCATGGCCACTTTTTTAAGGCACGGCTGCAGGTTCTGAGGGGCCCACGGCGCTGTTTGCATGCAAAAGGAAAGAAGCTCAGATCACAGATCATCTTGAATTAAGGTTTTCGTGGGTTTACAAAACCTCAAGCCGAGAGACAGAGAGCGAGAGAGAGACAGAAAGAAGGGAGCCCCCCTTCTCGCGGGCTGAGCTTCCGAGGCTTCGAGCGCCAGGGCCCGGGGGTGAAAGGCGCCTTCCTGCAGGCGCCGGAGCTGGAGGCCGTGGAGCCTCGCGAGAATGGCTGCACACACAACTCCACAAAGGAATCATAATTGAAGTTTTCGTCCGTACAAGGTAGAGTTTGGGGACATATTAGCTTTGCCTTTTGGGTTTCCCACAGTTCTTGGGCTCACGCCGATTGAGGCTTGTTCCAGAAACGACGCCCTTGAGACTCCTTCATCCGAAGCTGAAGCCTTCATCCGAGGACTGCGCAATTTGCTCCGTCCTTAGCACATGGGCTTCCCTGTAGCTTTCGGTTGCTGCTAGAGTCCTCTGTCGAGATGCGCTGGTTTTTGGGATGGTTTGCATCCAAGTCGCCTTGCGACTGAGGTTTGGGGGGTCTCTGTGAGCAGACCTGGGTCCGCGGTGCTCCCGTCAAAACCAGGCGACCCCTCCAAAGAATGTTCGGGACGTGTTTTCTGGTTCTGGTGTCGCACTTCATGACAGAAGGCTCGGTGATTGGAAGACTCTTGCAGGTTATTGCAGCGTAGGAAGCTCGCCTATCCTCACAAGCGGTGGTGCTGGGTTCACGTGCACACATACCACAACCGAAGAGGCTGGGGCGATTCTTCTTCTAATATAGCGTGTATGTGTTGCCGGGCTGCCGACTGATACATGTGTTGCAGCATGGGGTCTATGTGCTCCTGTGCTCCATGTGCAGTCCGGCCCACAGGAACGTTCCTGCCTGCATGACCGTAACAATGATGGTTCATAGGCCTTAGGCAGATATGGCTCCAAGCACGTGGACGAGGCCAAGAGGTAGAAATCCACTGTTTTCTCGAGCGTGCATGCATCAGCTCACACTGAGCAGAGACTTGGCGGTTCAGTTCGGTGCGATCGGGGGGTAAGTTTCTTTAAGAAGAGAAGCGAGACTAGCATTGAGTTGGACCTTTGGACCTTGCAGCCAACAAGTAACAAGCTGCAGCGCCTGGGAGGCGTTAGGAGACATGCAGGCACTGAAGCTTCAAAGGCTCCTAGGAGCCCCTGACCTTCAAGACCCCGGCCGCGAGCCCCCATGAACTGCCGATGCCATGGCGCACGGATATGCCGGGCCGGAGGCAGGACAAGAACATGCAGAATCAAGTAATACGTGTATGGGCGGAAAGGGTAGTTTTTGTTCCAGTACGACTATCGGGGTGAAAACGGGATTCTTTTCCATGCTCTTTCCAATTTTCAGACCTCCATGCAGTGTTAGCTTAAGTCAGTCCCTGCTTCCCCAAACCTCGCCTGACGCGGTCGAGAGCGAGTGCTAAACAAACAGTTCCAGCTTTACGTTTCAGGTTGACGGACTTCCGAAGCTGCAGCTTCGCGAAACTTTCAAGAGACATTCCGAAGTTCAACTGCAGTTTTTATATTTCGATCGCTCGGACGGGCGCCGTCAAGGAATCACCCCTGGCAATCGTGTACGACTAGGCCAACTCCGCTGCGTCGACCACCTGAAACATGCAGAGATGCACACACATACAAGTTCGCTTAAATGTACGTGTGTATATATGTGCATATATAGATGGACGGATGGGTGGGTAGGTGGGCAGGTAGATAGATACATAGAAACAACGGCATGAGTGAGACATGGACAGAGACATAGCTAGCTAAACTTTCATACACACCTACACCTGTGTGTTCATTCGTTTGGTTTAGGGTACACACGCATGTACATGTGTAAGCGTACATCTGCAGGTAGGTGAAAGTAGTGGTTCGTTTGCGCGCGCATGCATGCCTGCACAGATGCATATGCAAGACATGCACAGGCTAGGCAAGATCGCTCGTTTTGATGTCGAGGTCGGCCGCGGCAGCGTGCTCTCACCTGCCACAGTTGCCGTCGGGGCATCGGCCGAGGCCGTAAAAGTAGACGCAACAATTCTGTCCGCGAGGACGGTACTGGAGCCCCACCTGGGCAGCATGCCCCCATTTCCGAATCACTGTGCCTACCGCAGCTTCCTGCATGAATCTCTGACGCTTCCAGCCTTCCGTCCGGCGACCGGTTTGTCAGGTCTTCAGCAGCACTTCCGGCCAGTGGGAGCACTGCAAGGCTTGGTACACGACAAACCCGGGATATTGGGACATCGAGGAGTCGTTGCTCCTTTGTCGCTGCTGATCTTCAGCGGCTTGAGTTTGCTCCGGGCCGGGCAGACGATGTCAAGTCTGTTCTGACTTCACAGAGCTGACATAGCCCCCTTGCATATTTTGAATCCCTCGCCCAACTGTGTGTGCTGTGCCAGGTGGTTCGTGTGGAAGACAACATTGCCACCGTGGCCTACCAACGAGGCGGAGACCACGTCCAAAAGGCCGATCTAGAATTCAGGTTGGGCGAAGCTTTGAAGCCCAGGCTTCCTGTTGTGAAGAAAGGCCTCCAGCCCCTGCAACTGAGCTGCAAAAGCTTACTTGGCATCTTCGGCATTCCAAGACACCGAGGACTAGGGCCAAGCTTGATTGCGACTAGACAAGCAGAGCAGCCTAAACCCTTTGCTTTCTTTGCCCTGGCATGCGCTTTGGGAGAGGCCCTCCCCGTGGGCCATCCGCAGCTCCGGCTCCGGGGCTCAGTGCCTGCCGTGCTTCGGCTCACAAGACTTCGTCCTCCGGCTTGGGGCCTTAGATGTTTCAAGGTGGTATGGGCGACGATTGAAGCCTTCGGGCTGGGGGTTATGGCCTGAACGCGCAAGTTGCTTTCAGGGGCGAACTGGGCGCCCAGCTTGTGATTCTGAGGCTTAGATTCGGCGATTCGGCAAAGATCTCTCAGCTCCGACTGGCATGGGGGAGTGATCAGTTTGGGGAGCTCGAAGCATCGGCAGTCTTTACATCATGTCGTCGATATGCTATTGAGAGGTGATACATTTCTGGATGGTCGCGAGGTTCATGTACGACCATCGCACCAACTTCGGAATCACGATTTCGGTGTGCAGATGTTAACCTTAGATGCCGGAATTGCAAGCTCAGATTTGCTTGGCTTCCTTTGGCCCCCTTGTTGAGGCCCCGAGATTTCGACCCGTGTGCCGCGAGGGCGTCAAGTGCAGGGCCCGCTTCTGGACGGCAAGAGTATACAGAGATGCAGCAGAGGCAAAGAGGTTCAATTAGAGACGTTCTCGGTCCTCATGCTTCTTGATTTGTAAGATGGAGATGTCTGAAGTCTACGAGAATTGACGAGCAGCGATTCAGACACTAGATTCACTAGATCTTGCATTTGGCTCTTCAGGCCAAGGTTTATTGAAATTCGCGATCAGGACAAGATGCGCGGCACCTTGAAGCTTGCTTCGCGGCTGCATAAGTCTGCAGAAGGAAAGCGTGATTCCAATAGTTGCGGCACTCTTCTTCGCTCATCGCTCCCGTTTTGGGATATTTCTGCTCTTACAAGGAAAGCTTCCCAGCGTCTTGGAACGGGGGTACAAAGACCCGATTTGCGTGCACCCTCAGGGAGCCATCCTTTCGACCTGGACTTCCGATGCAGCTGCGAAAAAGAAGGACTGCAGTTCGAGACTTAATCCAGAGCTTTTACTGAGAGTACCGTCGCTGCTTACGACCCCATGACTGAGCCTGTTGCCCGAGGCCCACCCCGCCAACGCTACATCTTCTTTTTGGATGGGTGGATGCTGATGACTCCGGAAAGATTTCCAGGCCAGGCTAAAAAGCCCGCAATTCGAAGCCAGAGCTGCTAGGAAGATGAGGTTAAACTGGTAGGGAGGGATAGGAGGCGATCACAGTCCACGGGCGATCACGGCATCCGCTCGTTTCCATGGCCAGGGCCGAGCTGGAAGGCGCCTTGCCGCTTTTGGAGCGCCTCCAAGGAGCCAAGATATCGCCTCGTCCAAACTCAGTCAGAGCTCCTTCTGGAAGTCGCCCTTCTTCTTTTGTTAAGCTCCCTTTAAAGCGCATCCCAGCTGGGATTTGAGGAGTTGTTTGAGCTCAGTTTTGAATGCGACGCGAGACGCATATGAGTCTTTGGGAGATCCCGGCGACTCGCGAGCGCTGATGGCGGTGAGACCGTTGCCGGCCTGTAGGAGAGAGGCTGGCGCTCACGGAAGAGTCCTGGGAGCGGCTGGACGAGGCCAGTGACCTCTGCAAGCCTCAAGGCCTTGAGGCATCCCTGAACAAACATTGGCAAAGCTCATCAGAGGGAAACACTGCTCAACATCACGGTAGCACTTGTAAGGGTGACAGTAGGCTTGCTTCTTTTGCTTCGCAACTACCACTAGTGGGCAAAGCGACGGTAGCGCTCACAATACACCATTGCCTCCAGAGCTCCTGCTGCGTGTGTAGGATACGGACTGCCAAAGTATAGGAGCATCAAAGCTCAACCGAACCTCTTGGCGTGAAGCCTTGCCTCCGTGAAGCTCGTCTATCGAGTCCGAGTGTGAGAACGTAAAGTCAAAAAAAGCGTTTCGAGGGCTTGGTTCTGGAAGGACTTGCCTACTGCTTGTGACTTTGGGTTGTCAGCTCTTGTTCACGGATCGCGCTAGTTGTGGACATGCCTGGCCTGGGAGTGTCCGAGTGTAAGCGCCGACGGGCCAACAAGAACCTAAAGCCCAAACCTGAAAAGAGTGGGCATGGATCTCCAGCCAGGACGGAAACGGCGCTGTGAACTTCTCCGAGTTTGCCCAGCCTTCTGACCGACATCAGGTGTAATTTGTCTCAGAGAAAAATACAAAACGGTGGGCATTTTCTCTCAACTCCGAAGTCGCCGGTACTGGGCCTTGCCGCCTTGCCTTGCTCAGGTGGGCCGGGCCACGCCTGAGCTGCCCGATGCGCAAAACAGCGGGCGTCGCAGCGCTACCGCCCCGAAGAGAGCGAAGCGATGTTTTGTCGAAGCGAGCCGAGGCTTGCCTTTGGGTGTGGACCACCTCTTTGAGCAGCTGCCTCCCTGCGGGATCATCGGCTGTCCGTGTCCAGGCCACGGGGCAGGGGCAGAAAGGGCCATGCCACGGATCGCAAACAGCTGTCCATGCTCTCGCCCGCAGTCGACTCTTGACAGGCTTTCGTTTGGATGAGCGGGCAGCACTGGTGGAGATGTTTGGTGAGACGCTCGATTGCGAAGGAGAGTGCTGAAATCGCCGTATGAGTTTTGTTTAGACATGCGGCAAGCGATGTCCTCACGCAGCTGCCGGGTCTGAGCACGTCCCGAGGAAGAAGAAAAAGGAGAAGAAGTCCAAGAAGGCCTTGAGCCTCTACCCGTGGCTAAGCTCCTGACCCCGTCTCTAAGCCAAGTTCAGGATTGACGTGCTGCGAGCATGAGCCTTCTGCCTGACACAGGAGCAGACAGGTAAAGAAGAACAAGAAGCAGCGGAGAAACCAAGATGTATGTATGAAAGTATTCCAATTGGCCGTGCAGTGCCGCAGTGCCCGCAAAGACTCGGCGTCTTAGCTTCCTGCAACGGCCAACGCTTTGGATGCAGAGCTTTTGCAAAGCTCGTGCCCGCTCTTCGAAGCTGGGGTGTCCAAGGGTTTTCGGACGAGTTGATATTTCAGTGAGCTGGCGGCGGGCACGATGGGTCGATCGCTTTCTAGTGGGGAACGTTTCTCGTGTTTCGAGATGTTCCGAGTGCAGCTGGGAGGAGAAGAAGCACAGGAGAGAATGGGAAGATTGCGTCTTGACTCCAAGCCTTGCAGAGTCGCAGTAGGATGGCTGCTACCGGATTGGGTGAAGCTTCGAAGGGAAGCAGGACAGCGGCATGCATGACGGCTTCCAGTGGCTCAACAGCATAGTGAAAGCATCTCAGAGCATGTTGCGGCATCGATGTTTGCCATTGCGCATTTCGGAGTTTCCTTTGGAATAGTTCTGTTGGACGACCCCTGAGGCATGTGCCGCGAGGTCGACAGTGGCCCACAGAGCCACTGAGAGCAAACGGCTGTTGATTCGCGTTCTGGTTGAGGAGCGAAGAAGAGAAGGCACAACGCCGATCAGACAAGCTTGCACCTTGATAGTCCAGCTATCTGTCTCGCAAGCCCGAGCACAAGAGCATGCTGGCCAGTCAGTTTTTATCAACCCATGTCAACTCGAACATCAGTGGGATGCAGTCGCGGTTCCACTGCCACAGTCCCTGGCGCGTGTAGGAACTTACAGCTGATTGAAGCTACAGCCCTGCCTCGAAGCAGGAGGCAAAAAAGCCAACTCGCCTAAACCTAAACCGATCCACCTCAAACGAGATCCAACAGAGTTACTTGAGCCCTTCCTACTCAGGAATCCAAGACCGGCTCGACATCTGCATTTGCGGAGATTCGGCTCGGGACAGTTTCTGGGAGTTCCAGGGCTCAGAAGCAAAGAGAAGCGATGCCTCAATGAAAAAGCAAGCAGACATAACATGATCTTCGACATTTACAGTGGAGCAGAAGCCGTTGGGTTGAGCCTTTGGGTTGAAAGGTGCGAGGCTGGTTCGCTTGGGGTGCCAGTCAGTCAGGCTTTCTAGATTGATCTGTGAAGTCAGAGACTATCATACTACATGAGAATGCGGCATCCGAGGACACAAGAAGACTCTCGGAAGAGCACCAGCCACGTCCATGTTTGCGCTAGCAGTGTGCAGGCCAACCAGATATGTACGCAAAGCCCACGAGAGGTCTGAAGACGAGCCAGAGCCAGCCACTCAAAGCGAGCAGAAGGAGCCCAGTTGCCCCGCCCATCCAATCCATGCGACTGCAGGCAAAAGGCCCACTCGACCTAAGAGCATATCGACTGTACGTTCGCTTGATATGAAATGAATGATGAAGGGGCGCATTGCAGTTGCATGGGACCCCTCAGCACCCTTCGTCACTCCTTGCCTTTCAGCCCGATCTGAGGATGGTTCATCGTCTCGGTGCACCACGGGAATTGACTCCTGGCTGCATAACCTAGAGGCATATGCCATGAACCGGACCTGCCTCCATGCCTTCTATGACTGGTCTATGCCGCCTATGCTCCTGACACCAGTAAACTAAAGGGTGGCTTCCGTGGCTGCGTTTCGAAAGTGCCACGCATCTCTTCTTGTTTGCCGCGCCGTCCCTGATTAGGCAGAGATTAGACGAGCAATATGCTCGCACCGAAACATCCAAGACACGAGCCGGAAAGCCAAAATGCAGTGATAAAGGATTTTAGCATAAGCTTTCTTCAGCCAGCGGCTCAAAAATCGACATTTCACCCAGCCCGCCCACCCGGGGCGATCATATCTTTGCTTTGGTATATCTTGGCCTTGTGAGAAAACAGATTCTACAGCTGCAGCTCTTCATTCAAGCAGGGCTAACACGTCGCACACCATCAATCGAGACTTTCTCAAAGCGTGACACACCTCACCTCCCCAGACATAGCTCCCGCCAGGGGATCCGTGCCGCTGCCGAAGCATTGGTCCTCAGCGCGACCTTCGAAAGAGCCCTCCTCAGGCGGGAGGACTTAGAGTTCGCGATACTAGATCGTGCGGCAGCGACTTGTTCCTATCTTCGCAAGTCACCTGTGATTGCATCATCCATGGTGGGGCACTCGCATGTTCCGAGACCCGCCGTCCACTCAGTAAGCACCCGCGCCACGATGTTGCTTGCAGGTCTAGTTGTACTCGTACTAGTTTGACTGAAATTGAAGCCTTATTTTTCTCATATCACTGAAATACAACTCAACCCACGCCTTTCGCGAGGAGCGCACATCGTTCCACTGCCTGCAGACCACTGCCACCTGCTGCAACGGTTCTTTGAGACTCGCCAGATAGAACTGCACTGAACTCTACAAGGTGAAGGTCGGAGCCACTCACATCAAACTTGTGCGACTCCGGGATTTTGGGTGTTTGGACACGGCTTCGACTTAAATTGTTTGCTATGGATCTTCGCATTTTGGGAGCCCAAGATGTGGTGGTCAGAGTCCACAGAGGCATTTCCTTTACGTCGACGTGCTTCGCAGGAGGTGGTGAATTGCCTCATGGTTTTTCGTCAGTTTAGCTTGAGTCGCGCATGTTTGGTGCTCAAAGCTGTGGCATCTTCGGGTTGCTGTAACTGTTGATTGCTTCTTCAGCCAGGCTTCAACCGCCGAGTGTCTCGGTGGTGCCTCTCCTTTTGCCCAGAAGCCTGCAGCTATAGATGGCCCCAACAGTCGAGGACAGCACGTACAGCAACGTGTGGACACGTGATCGGAAACGTCACCACCCTGACAACCCGAACGTGCCACGTGCCTTCCGGGTGGCCTGGATTGTTGGATGACTTGTTTTTTGTGCATGTAGCTTGTGGAAGCCTGCAAGATCTGCTCCCTCCAAGCACAAGTCACATTGTACGGTGTGCAACTCCAGCAAGGCAAAATGCATTGCCACTGCAATACATGATTCAAAGAATACGGTGTATGTACATGTGATGAAAGCGCAGAGGGTTGCGCATACCGGTTGTGAGATTTCCGGACACGGCTTGAGCTTCAAAGGTGGTGCGCGCCTACCGAGCGGAGAACTTGAAGAACTGGCAGCTGGCTTACCTTTTTTACGTAAGTGTGCCGATGCATGCATTCTTCGGGATTATTTTTTCTCGCGTGTGCTGAGGCAGGAGTACGTGGTGCGGCGGGCCGAGCTGCTCAAGGATGCCAAAGACAGGACGTTTCAGCTGTACGACGTGCAACCCAGCACGGCTTCTTCGTGGCAAAAATGTGTGCACCGTAGTACCCGGGGCAAGCACTCCAAGAGTCCATCTGAAACTGTTTCTGAGTTCTTGGAGGAATGGGGGTAATCAGAAGGGCCACAGGGACATCTTGCTTTGGGATGACCTGAAAAGTCCGCAACTTATGCCACCTGTGTTAACGCCAGAAGGACATTCGCAAAAGCAACTTCCCCACCGCACAGGAATGGGCTAGCTACACCCACGCCTTTGGCATCGAGCCTCTTCAGCGTGCATGCAACGAGTGGGTGCTCCAGCAAAACTGCCAGCGGGGAGCTGGCCCGCTTGTTCAGGCATGATTCATGCACAAATCACTTCTTTCATCACTGCCGATGCACGTAGTCGTAGACGGTGGCCGCACACAACAATCGAAGCGTGCATGAGTGGTCAACCTGACTTGAAAAGCTATAAGTCCGTAGCTGCGAGATGCTACCCTGTGCAGTAGCATCGTCGTCGGCGGGGATGTCTTGCAATCCTTTCCCGCATGAGTGCCCTATAAATCTGTCGGAAAAGCAGTTCAGGTGCTTTTTCATGGGACCGCTCCGCCTGCGGCGCTGGCCATTTGCACCTAGGCTTCTTCGGGATCGTTCTGGCGTCTGGAACACCCGGATCGGGGCTTGAACTCCAAGGCAGGCGAAACTGAAGTCCTTGTTAAAGCAAAGGTCGCAGCGACTTCCGCATCAGCCTCGCTGGCGTGACTCGGAGAAGTCGACCTTTTACAGCAGCATTTTCCTTGGATGCAAGGATAGCACGGGAACCCTTTATGGCCGTGGCACTTACTTCGCGGAGTCCATCACCAAGGCTGACGAGCAGCGTGGCCGCAGAGTGGTTAAAAGGAGGATATCCGTAGGCCGAGAGCATCTCCCAGGTACGCCAAGGCAGCAGATGGGGAGTACGCGATGCTACTGGTGAGGGCTTTGGGCGGCCGTGTCCGCTACTGCAACTCGCCAAAAACCTGAAGCCTCTGCTGTCCATTCGTGCCGAGACTTAGCAGCACGGGGTGTTTGCGTGTGGATACGCTGATTTGCCTAGGCCTAGTAGGCCTAGAGCCTAGGCACTTCTCAGGTCCAGGCTGGGAAAACACCCCTGCGAAGCTCTTCCCATCAGCGTGCACTTGCAAGCGTTTGGGATTGCCACCGTGGTTGTACCTCATGTGTAGGTGCATTGTATACTGTAGCCCATCAAATCTTTTCGGCCACTGCTGCAGAGTTTCACAGCTATCTGCAATACTTGTTTGCGAAGCCAGGTGACGAGGTCGAACCAGATGCAGAGGACAGGGCTGCAAACCTTTGCACATCGAATGAGCTAGCAGAGGGATTCCTGGTGCTGAATATTGCTCGCCCCACAAATCCCGCGAAGGCTCTGCCTGCACCTGTCACATGCACCCCGAAACCAAGACTTCTCGCCGCAGGACCTCACTCGCAGCTGCATCGAGGGGCCGTACGATTGTGTTTTGGGCGATCCTTGGCTTGTAAGTCTCTGGCATGGAGCTTACGTAGGGGTTTGATTCTCTCAAAACTTGGAAGTGCTTCTCGGTTCTTCGGTGGTGGGTGCCCGTCTGGCCTTATTGGCGAGTTGAATTGCACAGGCAGAAATTGCACATGAGTGGTCCCTTCATTGTCAAAAGGGGATCTCTTGGCGAACCGAGCTCGCGGCGCTTTGGCTCAGGACCGGAAGAAATGCCGGGGCACGTACAGGGAGTTCGTCTTCTTCGACACCGAAAACCTCTACCCAGAGTACATCGTCATCTACACCCGGAGCTACTAGAAAATTCCCGCTCGAAGCTCGACGTCAAAGATCTCCAGGGCCTGCAAGACGCTGGCGAAGCGATTGTGGGCACAAAGTGGCCTCCAACACGTGGAAAAGGAGCCAAGGGCCAAAGGGACATGGATTTAAAGCTAGTTTGTTAGGCTGCCATTTCTTTCGACACGCCTGGCGCTCCCGCATTTCGCAGTACCCACATCAACAAAAACCGCACTAAAAAGCCTGGGGCTTTCTGCTGGCATCAAGGAAAGGTGGCAGGCAATGGTTTTCCTTTGCGAATAGCGCAGGCCCATCATGACGCTCAGGATTCGAACTCTCAACTGCAGCAGAGTCGAAGTGACCGTAGCTATCCCAACCTCACTCCCATTCAACTAGCTCTGCTTGTTGTGGCCAGAGCCACCGAAGCCCCCAAGCAGCGAAGTCGAAGCCGGTGCAGATGTGGCCACTATTTCCACGCCCTTTGTTTACGGCGCCATCTTCGTGCATCGGTGTAACTCGCCTGGTTGAGATCATGCAAGTGTTTCTGGCTTTTAGGGTCTGATCGTGGCGATTCTTTCTGTTGCCTGGGAACGTGTTCACTCTTCTCGCTGGCGCATATTTCCGGCCTCTGTATGCAATAACCGATAAATCTTAGTCGGTTGCTTCCAATAACAGTAGTAGTAGTAGTAGTAGTAGTAGTAGTTGTTGTTGTTGTTGTTGTAGTTGTAGTTGTTGTTGTTGTTGTAATAGCTGTAGTAATGATCATAATGTATTCTATGTCTATGGTCTATGCTATTGCCTCCGTTTCGAGTAAGTGCATCGCTGCCCAGTCTTAAGACTCATACCTTTTTGCATATAGTTTACATACCAGCCCGCATCCACGTACTGAGGAGTGAGGCGACTCGGCCGGGACAGTCCAGCGCTTCTTGGCACGCAAAACGTAAGATCTCCTCAAGCATGTGAACCTTGGACCCCAAGAAAAAGCCATATTGAGTTGTTGGCTGAAACCGCTGGCCGATCTCGCTCTCAGCGCCTTCCCCTCCCTCGGTGCAGCTGACGATTCCTGAGTTCCTGCATAGCAGACGCATCCAGAAACTAGCCATATGATTACGTGCCATTGCAATGCTTATCGCTGCCACGTGATATATGCTCTGACTCTGCTCACCAACGAAACATGGAAGCCCGGAGCCAATTCGGAAGCCAGGGCACTGCGCAGCCCCAAATCTCAATTCCTTAAACCCGGCGTAAACCCCAAGCCTTTGTGGCCCCAGGTTTGTCCGAATTGCCGTGCCCCCGAAGCTTCGGATGCCTCCAGTTGCGGGCAGCAAACCCAGCGTTGGCGGATCGAAGAGGAGCCTCGGGCCCAGCAATCGACTGAACTCCCTTGAAGTCGCTGGAGGGTTAGCTTCATGGGACAACGAGGGCCCCCTGTGCCTGCTAGCTTCGAAGACTCGGTGCTACAGACGAAGCAAAAACTTGAGAAGCTTCCCGGTTCTCATGCCTTAGACGTGTTTTGAAGTTGAGTCGTTGATTTCCGTGGGTTACGTAAGCAAACCGTCTCTGTGGTTCAAGTAAGCAAGAAGAGCTTGGTGGAGAAGATAGGCGCAGTCCTCGAAGAACGTAAAAGGATCCAAAGCTTTGGGGGCTGCTGGTGCAAACAGGATCACTCAGAAAGGCCCTTGAGCCTTTGAAGGATCTGATGCGCCGTTTCCTGTTGTCACGCCTTTCCCAAAGCATCGAAAAGCTTCAACTTCCTTTACTTTTTGGCGGGCAGCAATGACCCTCGCACAGGACACGCAGGGTCGAGCCTTGGGAAATGGTCCGTATCGCTTCTTGGCGGTGCTGTGTGTGGACCCGGAGGCACACATGGGGCTCTTCTTGCACAATTCAATCGCCTGAAGACAGATATCAAGAGTCACCCTAAACGACCTGCAGAGCCTGCGCGGAGTTTTTCGCCTCGAGGCCGTTCTGGATAGCTGGGCGCTCAGATCGACTTTCGTGCTGGTTCCAGGCTTGTAGTTGCCGACATAACCTTGTCCTGGATGTCGCTGCTTCGGTAGCACTGTGTCCAACGAAGGTGGCAGCCGGCTCCCAATGTCACTTTTGAAATCTTACTTTTTAAGGCCTTTCTCACTAGAAACATCAAGCGATGCGTGCTAGGTGTGTGAATGTTTCACGCCGTATGCTCCTGGCACGCTCTCAGGTTCCGTCGTGATGCAGCAGATAACGTGTACCCTCGAAATGATGTCTGCTCAGCCAAGCCTCGGGTATACAGACCGGGGTGCAGGCATGGCCATGTGCTTACAGACCAAGCCATAGTGACATAGTGCTGCCGAAGTGGCCGTCCGCCTTCGAGAGCCAAGAACTTCGCCATTCGCACTGGATGTCAAGAAGAGCGTCGTAAAGCCTCGCTCGGGCTGCTTGGCCCAAGGGTGTAGCAGCAGAGGTTCATGCATTTGGCGAAGCTGCGAAGGACGTGACAAGTCACCCCAAATCCTTGGCCACCGAATATGCTTTTTTCTGAACACAGTTTCTGTTCCAATGCATTCGTACTTCTTATCGAGGCTTGTGGATCACAGACGGTCGAATGTCCGGGCGGCAGCATTCCGATGAATTCAGAGCATGGCTTCGAATAGTGATGCGGCTAGTATGCCAGACCTGAGATTGCAACCACAGAACCGCGTCTTGTAGACACTGCACCTGATCTGGCAGAAATACCCGCGGACCTTGAAGAGAAACGCATAATCCCGGTATGGTTTCCAGCATTCCGACTAGGGTATACGGTTTGGCATGCATACATTACATGCTTCCTCGAGGCTTGTGTGCGGCCCTAGCCGTGCGGTCAGATCTTCGTTGCTACTTGAGAAGACTTGCTACAAACCACTGAAAGCCTGGCTGAGATCTGCTGCAGAGGGCAACGGGCTCCGGCTTTGGAAGACCGAGCGCAAATCCCTCGCTGTCTCACTCGGCGCCGGTCAAAGTCAGTTTCTGGATTGGGTGTTCTGGAGAATAGGAGCTGCACTGAGCACACATCGTGACACAGTGAGTTCATGGCACTGCGAAGTCTGATTTGCGCGAATGCCGAGAATCTACCCCGAATAGTAAGCGAATCATTGCTGCGTGCTGTGCAACGATGCGCCAGCTCTTCAAAACTCAATGTCAGACTTTCAGAAGCAACAACTCCTCACTACCCGCACTCATCAGGGGCGAAACCGAAACAAAACCGCCTGCTGCAGTGCTATTCCTGCTTCAAGACTTCAAGACTTCTTGAGCAAGTAGCCTCGTCACGAACAGTACTCTTAAGACGAGCTCCAGGCTCTTGGAACCTCCAAGCCAACTCGAAGTTATCTGCGGAGGGTGCTTCGCCCCAAAGTCCGGGCACCACTGTGGCGACTCATGCTGGGCACGGGTGCCACAAGAATGCTCCTCCGCACGGCTGGACAGAGCATCGAGGACCATGTTCAACTTGGCTTCCTGCCTCTTCGGCGACGAACGAAAAACTGTGGCTGAGGCGTGTCCAAGCAACATCGTGACAAGCTAGGAACCGGCAGCCTGAATGGTATCATAAGGTCGGACGGTGAATCTGTCGCTGATGACGGAACTCTGTGTTTGGGCATGGACCAATGAAACATGCAGTCCAGAGTCCAGGAGAGTCTTACAGGCTTGTCCGCCTCTGATATGGGCTCCAGGCCTTGAGCTTTGTGGCGTGCGTAGAGAAAAGTGTCTGCCCAGGAATGCTAGTGCATTTCAGTTGGCAGCGGAGCGGTTCGGTCTAGAATACCGTCGCTTGAGCCCAATCGTTCGTGCCATGGATCCTTGGGCCGAGTATCTCTCTCGGCGATCCCTGGAAAGCCGCGATGCCAGCGGCAGAACTTCGAGAATGGACATAGCAAGTGGAATGGAAAGAAATGGCCCATCCGGGATGGGTGTTGACTCAAGCAACTTCGGCGGCGTCTGGGCAACTTCCAGAGGAAATGAGCCTCGACGAGGTGCTGCCGAAGCTGCTGGAGGCTTTGTTTCAGGCGCAGAAGCTTCAGCGCCTGGGTCTTTCAGGCCTCCTACGTTTCCCACATTCTTAGCAACGGGGCCACCAACAAACTTGCCCACTGGAGTGATCGGTGAACAACTGTTTCCTTCTCCAATGGAGAGGCCTCCTATGTGGTCGAGTATGCCCTGCCCCACCGCATGTCCATCCGTATTCGCGCCAACTCCGCCTACTACCAGTGTTCCTATTCCGGGTACTAGTAGAGCCCCCGGGTTGTGTCCTCCGAGTTTCGCGGGTTTAAGACCTACTACCTTGGATGGCGCGGGAGCTACTGCAGGTACCTGGACGAGCCCTACAACAACCCCACAACATCTTCCACAACAGCCCAAACTATCTCCTTTTGCGTCACCCTTCTTTTCAGGAGCCGCTGATGCCGCAGCGAGTCTACATCACAGTGCAGGACAGCGAAGCTCGCCCAGCAAGGTTGCAAGTGCTTTCGAAGTGCTGGGAGTTCCTAGCCCCAATGTACCTCATCAAGTTCCTGATCAAGCTGAGCGTTTTATCGCCGCGCTCACAGGGGATCGGCGCTCGATCCCCACGTGGAATGGTCAGCCAAACACCTTACGGACTTGGTTGAAAATGCTTGCCTACTGGGAGATGGACAATCCACTTCCTCGCGCTAAATGGGGAGTGAAATTGTATCAATCGTTGCAAGAGAACAGCGAGGCAAGGCGTCTGGCCGACCAATTCGAACTGAAAGACTTGATGAGCCCGGAGGGGTACAGCTTGGTGCTTTCAGCAATAATGGAGAAATACAGACCATATCTTGAAGTTGCAGTGCCAGCTGCAATAGATAGATTTTTTTATGGAGGAGAGAAACAAAAAGGCCAATCGTTTGCAGCCTTTATCGCACAGAAAGAAACCTCCAAGCTCGAGCTCGAGACGCACTTGCAGGAGAAGCTTTCTTCCAAGATAGCCGGACGCATTTTGCTTCGACATGCTGGCTTGACAGAATATCAGCGAGAACTTCTAGCCCTGCGGGATTACAACACGCTGCTGTCTTTTGAGCAAGTCGCTGCCTTGCTCAGGCCGCTGGACAGGCCCGAGTTGATTGCTCAGGCTGCTGGAGCTGAGCTGGGCAGTCAAGCTCAGAAGCACTATCCAGTTGTTGGGATGGACTCGACTGAAGGTGACGAGGAGAACCAGCTCGAGGACGACGAGCACGAGGAGGGCGAGTCGGAATTCTTCGACTCGGAGATGGACGAGCTGGAAGAAAATGAGGTGCTCTTCGAAGACAGGGAGTACCAAGAGGACGAAGCTCAATACATAAGGGCATACCACAGTGCCTACGCCGATGTCAGAGCCTCCCTTCGAGACCAGCGAAAGCAGCGCGGCTTCTCTAGGTCTCGGCCGAAGTCTCCAAGCTCATTCTCCAGAAGGCCCAGATCGCAAGAGCGTGGTGGTAAGGGACGAGATCGAGGCAAAGGCCGAAGTGAAGGGAGCCGGTTCAACAAGCAACGCGCCGGCCCTTTTTCCAGAAGTGGCAAAGGCTCTGTCGTAAAGGGCACCACGGAAGACCTACTAGCTCGCACTCGGTGTTACAACTGTCAAGAACTTGGACATCTGGTTCGCGACTGTCCCTTGAAGGGGACAGGAAAGGGTGCGAAGAAAAGTTTCGTGGTGTGCCGAGGTGGGAGCAACGCTGCGTCCTCTACCAGTTTGGCGTTTCTCATCTACAAGGGTCGAGCAGAAGCTGTGCCTGTTCGACAGGCCTTCCCCACGTGCTCTACATCCACTACCGAGAGCTACTCCCGCATCTTCGCAGGAGTCAAGGTCAGAGGATTTGAGGCCTTGGTTGACACCGCCGCCGAGGACGGGGTTATTGGGGATCGAGCCTTGAAGCAGTTGACGGCTGAGTTGAAGAAGTACCAGTTGCAACCGGTTGAGGTCGAAGCTGGAGGGTCGCTTCCATGTGCGGGCATTGGGGGTGCTGCCACCATTGTGAAAACCGTGGATCTGCCAACTTCGGTGGCAGGCCAGCAAGGAGTGCTCCGCATGACAGTCCTGCAGGACTCGGATTCCTTTTCGACTCCTCCACTTCTCCCCATCTCCTACCTCGAGGCGGTAAAGGCAATCATCGACTTGTCAACAGAAGAGCTTCGCCTGCCGGGCGGTGTGTCTACTCCCATGAACCGCCTGGGCTCAGGACATCGTGCTGTAGATATCTTGCAGTTTCAAGACCAACCTTGGCAACTTCCAGATGAGTTCTGGGTCGAAGGTCGAGACCCCTTTCGGCTTAACGAGGCCTCTGCAGTTATGGTTTCTTCGGGATTACCGGCAAGTGCAGCATGGCGTCTGGTGCCCCATCAGGTGGTTACCACGACGAGCGCTTACTCGCCAGTTCAGTGTGCGGCCGACGCGCTGGGTGTGAAGGTCTACGTGCACACTCTTGATGGCAACATCCGTCTGGTTTCTACTGCTGACGGCTGGCGCATGCAAGACCCGGTGTCTCCCGAAGAAAGCCAAGTCCTCGGCAGCTTTGCTGTGTCTCCCGAGCGATATGCCATGATCCTGGATCAGCACGGTCACTTTATGCATGTCAAGGACCGGTGGGCGGCGCCTGCAACGCCGTTGCAATACCGCTGGCGCGGCCGTGTGTTCTTCTATGAGGCCCCGAACCCCGGAACAGTGAATCCAATGCTACCTTCCGATGACAGCGCCTTTCAAGATCACGGCAGTGGTGGAAGTGGTTCTGTCGGTGGCGCTGCGGGCAAGGTCGCTTTGGCTTCTGGGCGAAATCGTCGTCAGGGTCAAAGGAACCGCGCAAAGCAGCTCAACATGTACTCCTCGGTCGATGAATGTGCAAAGCAGCTGAATGCAGTTGCGGATTACTCCGAGGATGCCCTCTTGCGAGTGATGAAAATGGTCGAGAGTGACTCAAAGGGTCAGCGAAGCATCCTCAAGGCGAAGTCGAAGCATGGATACTCAATGGTTTTAGGAGCCTTTGTTCATGGAGGAGTGTGTGGAGTGACGTCGTTGACTTTGCGTTTGCCCGAACTGTGTAGGTACGTGAACAACTGGCTGAAGCATCAAGCAGGACATGAGTTCACTCGTTGGTCGTCAATTCACATTGGAGTGCAAGTTCGTGCCTCTCCTCACATCGACAAGAATAATGAAGTCGGCACCCAGAATTTGAGCGTAGCCGTCGGGGAGTTTCGGGGTGGTGAGTTGTGGATGGAAGCCCCGGCACATGCTCCCGAAGGCGGAATTGGCATCACTACACGTGTGATTGGTGGGCAAAAGCCGGTTGGCTACCTGATCGATACCCACATGAAGCCCCTGGTGTTCGACCCGAAACAACTTCATGCTACTGCAAGCTGGACCGGGTTTCGCATATCAATCTCAGCGTATACTGTCAGAAGTATGTCCAAGTTGAGTTCACAATCTCACGAGTGTTTGGTAGCCCTCGGTTTTCCATGTCGCTCGAGTGAGGCTCAGGGAGATTGTTCATGTTACTTTGTTGGGGATTGTGAAGACGAGCCAGAACACAGCCCCACTGCTGAGCAAGACTTTGTCACGGCTTTTGAGCAAATCCATCAACGTCCTCCGGCGGCCGTCAGCATGATCAAGCGGATGCTGTCTTCAGTGTCCAAGTGGATCTTCAATTCGAACCCTCGTCCCGCTCGAGCTCCTCGGAACCATGGCGAGCCTTCGCGAGCGCGCCTTGAGGATGGCCGAGGCAGAGCGTCAGGACGAGCAGTCGCTGCCGAGCCGCAAGATGGGGACTGCAAAGACTATGCAGGCGTGGAGGCGCCTAGTCTCTTCGATCCTGATCCTCTTGGCGACCGCCCGACAGCAGACCTTGGTAGACCACATGGTGACCCGCAATGTCGACGTGGAGGAGCCAGAGGACAAGAAGGAGAAGAAGACCAAGAACCAGAAGAAGGAGAAGAACACGGGTCCCATCAGCCAGGCAATTGGACAGCCAATGAACAAGAGCAAAGCTCACAAGGAGTTCCCAGTCAAGAAGGATGTGTGCAACCATCCCGCGGATGCCTTAAGGTGCCGAGGAAACGCGTGGGCCAGGTGGTGGACGTGCACAAGGTGCGGTTCGAGGTGGAATCGTCCGGCCGAGATCCCTCGTCCCTCGTCCTCTTCGAGCACGACGGCAGTGATTGTGGACGACGAGGCGCCGAAGATCAAGGACCCCAAAGGCCGGGAGTACCCGAAGTACCTGCCAGCTCCTCGTGGACGTCTGGAACAAGGAGCTCGCGAGGTCACGTTCGACGAGACAGGGAAGGCGAGAGCCATCCACTCGGCTGTGGAGATCAACGACCTCGACCTGATGGAGCAGCGGAATGCCGAGAAATCGCAGCGGCAATCCACCAGGTCCAAGGATCCAGCTCGCCTCCCATCCGGTCTACGCGAAGTACAACCACCCAAGGCACCCACGACGGGAAGCAAGGTCAAGACCGAGTTCTTCGAGATGCACTCGGGCGAGACCAAGGGCGATGCGCAGATGGTGTCCAGCTCCGACGACGACCGAAGTGCTACATGATACACGGCGAAGCGGTGATGAACTCCGAGGAGGTGATCATGAAGAAGCTTGTCGAGGCCACCAAGAAGCATGGGATGTGGTTGAAGGTGTTCTTGGTACTCTTTTCGGTGGCGGGCGGTGCGAACCCTGGACTGGAAGGAATCAACCAGGTGATGTCCGCTAGCTTTGGTCGCCCGCAAATGGAAGGAGTCTGGGACGAGACTGCGAAGACCTGGATGCTTGTCGAAGTCTCCAAATCCACCAAAGCCAATGAGGAGGTTCGAGCAAAACAGTCAAGATCGTCATTCACAGATTCAAGATCGTCATTCCCAGATTCAAGCTCGTCATTCCCAGATTCAAGCTCGTCATTCCCAGATTCAAGCTCGTCATTCCCAGATTCAAGCAGTTGGTCGTTAGAGTCAGTGCCACAGGTCAGGGTCCAACTGTTCAGTGTGACGAAAGGGCAATCATGGCTTTCGGACCTTGAGGGCAAAGCAAGCAGTATGACCAAGGGCGAGCGAAACAATCTGGTGATGCATCTACAGAAGCTGTCAGGAGTTTTTCGACGAGATCCTGGAACGACGGAGACCGCCAAAGCCATTGACCTGAATCGAGGATGGGACTATGGCAAGGTGCAACACCGACAAGAAGCGCTGCGACTGCTGGCCGCGCATAGGCCGGCGATGGTTTGGCTGGGTGCTCAGGATGCCTTTGCAGCGCGACTGGCCATGGTTCAAGCTGACGGAGGTCGGGGTTTCGTGATGACCACGAGCCCTACTACAAGCAAAGTAGCTGAGCCGATCGTTGATCTGGCTCAAAGACCAGACGTGGCCGAGGTGAAGTGGCGAGGCAAGTCCGTGTGGATGTGGACGAACCTCGCGAGTGTGGCAAAAGATTTACAGCGACGTTGTGACGACCCTCGCCTGTCAGTACAAGAACTTCGCGATTTACCGTCGTCGTTCTCTACTGCCTCTGCTGCGGGTTTGGAAGCCACTTTCTTGGAGAACGTCATCGAGAACCTGCACCGACTACAACCATCACAACATTACCCCATCTTCAACATTCCTGACCAATGGTTTCGACGCGGTGGGCATTTAAGATGTCAACATTTCGTGCCTCGTCATAGACTGGCGCAGCCTACCGAGTGTGAGGCATTCTCTACCAAAGCCTTGCGCCTCTCGGGCCGGCGCACCACGCATCAGCAATTTGTTGATGGCCGTTCCTACTTTGTCCACGATGACTGGAAAAAGTCTGTTTCAACCTCTACGACAACCGCGTGGACTGGATACACAGAGTTCGAGGTGCTGCACAACGTGCTTTTGCCCGAGAGCTACAAGAACTCTGCGCAGTGGATTGCCAAAGCAGCCACGCATGCGCTGTTTTCACACGTCTCTTACGAGACGGCTTTTCAGACGGAGTGGAAATCCATGTTTCCGTCGCACAGAATTTTGGGGGAACGCAGTTCATCGAGCGTTCCAAATTTTGGAACTGGGGTGCCTGAGTTCGACTTTGATGTGGACGACTTCATCGACAACATCCCGACTGCGACGGAACCTGGCACCAAACGGAGGAAACTACCTGAAGAAGATGAAGCGGCTGTGGCGAAAGAGCTCAGAGATCTTCCGGTGTCAGAGCGTCGCGACATCGAAGTGTCCTCCTTGCCTCCGGACCTACGCCGGGAAGTATATAGGATCCACAGAAACTTAGGACACCCCGAGAGAGCAGCCTTTTGCAGAGCTCTCAAACACGCCGGAGCAAAACCTGAGGTCATTCACTTTGCCAAGCATGTTTTCCAGTGCCCCATATGCATGGCGCGGAAGAGACCCGCATCACATCGGCCAGCACACCTGGTTAGAGCAATGCCGTTCAACGAGGTGGTTGGTGCCGACCTCATCTACTACGAGAAGAAGATTCTGTTGAACATCCTCTGCTGGGGCACAGGGTATCAAATTGTTTCTCAGATCCCCGACCGGACCTCTGAGACAGTGACCCAGTGTTTCGTGCAGGAGTGGATGGCTCACTACGGTGTTCCGAGGCTGGTCGTGGTAGATCAAGGCAAGGAGTTTGCCGGAAGATGCTTCTGCAACGTGGTCAGCGATGCTGGAGCAATCGTGCACTTCACGGACGTCAGATCGCCTTGGCAAAACTCGAGGACTGAGAAGGCCGGTGGGCTTTTCAAAAGCCGCCTAGCCAAAATTTGCGATGAGGTGCTGATCGCTGACGATGATGAGTTTAACATGGCGGTCAGCGAGGCTGTGTTTACTCGCAACCAGTTGGTAGACCGGTCAGGCTTCAGCCCTCAACAACGTGTTTTCGGATGCAATCTTCGACTTCCCAATTCAATGGTTGCAGAAGACTACATCGCCAAGGAGCTGCTCGCAAATCCACAGACCGACCACATGAAGCGGGCTCTGGAAATCCGCGAGGCCGCGGCTAAGGCCTGGGTAGCCAGTCAAGACATACAAGCAGTGCGGCGAGCCTCCCGAGCAAACACTCGGACCAGTGACGTGATCGACTTCAAGCCCGGAGAGGTAGTGTACGTGTGGAGAGACACGGCTTCGTTCACTGGATGGTCTGGGCCGGGGATTGTCGTAGCCACTGCGAGCAACGGTCGCTCAGTATGGGTGAGTGTACGAGGCTACCTGGTCAAGGCTTCTCGAGAACAAGTACGGGCCGCTACAGGGGAAGAGAGCCTTGGTGTGGAGCTCGCGCAGATACTCTCTTCAGAGATGTTAGATAAGCTCGAGGCCGGGAGCCTTCGGCACTACCAAGACATTCAAGACGAAGGCGGGCCTTTTGCAGATGAAGAGGCCGGAGGGCGAAGTGATGCAGCCGAGCCGCCCCAATCTCGTGATGGAGCTGTTCCTGTGGCTACTGAAGGCGAAGACCCGGCGATGGATATCGACTTCAACGACTACGCGCCCTCCATGCCCGACCTTGATCAAGCTGAAGTACCTGAACTCCAAGAGCTACCGGATGATGACACCACCCGAGTGCCATCTGCGGCCACCTCAAGACGGCCGAGCTCTACCGGGACACTGCGGGTGGACGAAGCCTCGAGCGGAACTATTCCATGGGGACCAGTGCGCGCGGAAGCAAGCGCGCCAACTCCAATGCCCTACCCGTTTGTGCAGCCTCCTTCGGCCTGGCCGCCAACAACGGGAAGATCCAACTACGTCGAGGTCATCAAGGACTTTCACGAGGATCACGACGGCGCCAAATACTGGTTCAACAAGGTCCATGGAAGAAGTGAGCCGCGGGCCGCAACTGGAGGGAGCAAGTTTGTGAGTCACGATTCAGCTGCTTACTTCAGTGCCCATGATCGTCGGTTTTACTTGGCAAAGAAAAAGGAGTCTCCGGGACAAGTGACGTTTTCCCTTCTAGGCGAGGAAGAGAAGAAGATCTTTCGACAGTCCCGTGAGAAGGAGATAAAGTCTTTGCTGGAGTCCGGAGCGATCAGGGTTTTATCGCTAGAAGAGAGCCGCAGATTCCGGAAGGAGCATCCGGACCACGTCCTAACCTCCAGGTACGTTGATCGTTGGAAACCCACGGAGGCATTTGCCGTGCTTCCGGACAACTTCGACGCCAACAATCCCGGGGAGCATCGGGCACAGGTGGCTGCGAAAAGCAGGTGGTGCGTCGTAGGATGGCGCGATCCCCACGTTCATGAGATCGAGCGGTCAGCGCCGACGCCAAGGTCTACTTCGATCTACCTGTTCCTTCAGCTCTCGGCATCGCGTAACTGGGACGCATTCGCTAAAGACGCAAAAACAGCGTTCTTGCAAGCGAGGCCCACCACGAGACGGCAGAAGTTAGCATGCAATATGCCAACCGACGAGCATTTCCCACAGTTTCACAAGGACCAGCTCATCCTATTGGAAACGGAAGTCTACGGGCTCGTATCGGGGCCGTCCTGGTGGAGAAGGTCGCTCCTGGAGATCCTGGTTAAAGAAAGAGCTTCGGTACAGGGTCTCGTCATACGACCGATGCGTGCTCACCCTCGACGCCAAGGCCGACGAGGAAGATCCCGACAAGACCAAAGGGATTATCGTCATCGAGGTTGACGACTTGCTGGAAGCCGGTGGAAAGCGACATCGGGACAATATGAAGTGGCTGGAAAGCCGCCTGAAGTTTGGCAAAATCGTCAAGCTGCGTGATCACCCAGAAGGAACTGCCTATGCAGGTCGCCGCATCATGCAGCTGGAGGATGGGACATTCCAGTACACGATGGCCGATTACATCGCCAATCGCCTGAAGGCCATCCCGATTAACCGCAAGATCCTGAAAAAGAACGCCTCCGAGACTCTTCTTAACGCCGAAGAGGAGACGCAACTCAGGGGAGCAATCTCTTGCATTCTTTGGATTGCGAGAGAGGGAAGACCCGACGTGGCTGCCGCGGCAAGCATTCTTTCAGGACGATTCCCGGAGCCAAAAATGAGCGACGTGTTCGAAACCAACGAGGTCATCGCTCACCTGAAGGCGCAGCACGTGGTTCTGCAGATTTTCCCGATTCCCGAGAGCGAGGTTCGGCACTTCGTGATCTCGGACTCCGCCTACGACCCCACGGGCAAGACCAAGCCTCAGCATGGATGGCTTCAAGGTATATCCAACTCCGAGCTGAACGCTGGAGCCAGCGCGCCTATGTCGCTGATTGGATGGACTTCAAAGCGGCTGAGACGGAAGGCAGGAAACACCCTGCTCTGCGAATCGATAGCTCTATCGACGGCTCTCGGAGCAGCCGAGAAGCAAGTGAGTATGTGGGACAGCTTCTGCAAGTCACACTACTCACCTCGCGAAAACCTCGAGCCTACGGATGAAGAGCTTGGATTGCGGAGTAGCGCCACCGTGATCGCCGAGGAAAGCGTCGAGTACCGGGACCCCTACTCTATCGCCATCGTCGACGCCAAGAGCCTCTTCGACGGTGCGAGTTCTGAACAAGCCCAAGGGGAGGATGATCGTAGTGCGTTAGAGATAGCCATAATTCAAGAATCGTTGGCGAAAATCCACGGCAGAATGAGGTGGATTCCACACAACAAGAATCCGGCAGATGCACTAACCAAGCTGGCGGGTGCTCACATGCAGCCGATGATGCAGCTTTTGCGTAGCAACCGACTTCAGATTGAAGAAGAGTCTGAAGTGCTTCAGCAGGGAAAGCAGAGTGCGTACAGAATGAAGGCAAAGGCCTGAGCACAAGCCTGCTAAAATTTTAGGGGGCTGAAACATGCAGTCCAGAGTCCAGGAGAGTCTTACAGGCTTGTCCGCCTCTGATATGGGCTCCAGGCCTTGAGCTTTGTGGCGTGCGTAGAGAAAAGTGTCTGCCCAGGAATGCTAGTGCATTTCA